CTCTCACGCTCGGCCTCCTCACGCTCGACACGCTCTAGTTCCTCCACACTATCGATACCACGAGACACGGCTCGTATTATCTTTTCAAACCACAATTTCTTTTGTTTTCGAAGACGCTCTACCTTAGCGTCTATCACACGACGAGCTTCCTCCGCCTTTTCCAATTCAGATTCGAAGCGGGTGTATTACGCAATAATTCGACGTAATTGCTATAGCGAAAGCGCTTTAACATCGCAATAAGAAAGGTTAAGACGGACGCACTCAAAACAGCGCGAAGAATCCTCCTCGGAAGCAATGCATTTGCGATCGTTCTTTTCGCAAGCAGAACAAGTATTCTTTATTTTTACGGAATTCAGGAACACGACCTCGAGAAGAGCGTCACGTTGTTCGGTTTTTTGGGAACGAAAGTTGCGATTTTTTGTAACGCGGTCTAGCATTTTAATCAGCATACCGCAGGAAGAAGGAGCAAGAAGCAAGGAACGCACATCACGGGAACCAACACGGTTTTGAGATCTTAGGACAAGATCCTGGGAGAGGAGATATCATATTACGACCCAACATACGACCGTATGCGCCGCTATGCGGCCCGCACGTGATATGACGCATAACCCACTCTTTTTCACCAGTCACTTTGGATCATCTACAAAACACCATGATCCGGATCATCGCACTCATCTCATAAGCCTCATAATCCACGGGTATCATTCGCTTCACACAATAATCCCCTTAGTATATAGGAAGCCTAGCTTCACCATAGTCAGTCTCTACCAGCTCCTTAGCTATTAATACAATTGTCTACGCAAGATCCACTATCTCGCACATAGACTATGACCCGACCGCTCAAGTCAACGACATCCTAGTGTACTCAGTTCAAACCCGACTTCTATTCTATCTACCCGGTAGCTAGTCTAGACCCGAACGTCACATATAGTTAGTCTCTACTAGCTCCTTAGCTATTAATATAATTATCTACGCAAGATCTACTATCTCGCACATAGACTATGACCCGACCGCTCAAGTCAACGACATCCTAGTGTACTTAGTTTATAAACCGACCTTAGATCTACCTACCCTATAGTTAGTCTGACCCGAACGTCACAATAGACCTCTTACTAAAAAAATAATACTTAAAGTAGATTAATTATACTTACTATATAAATATATAAAAAGATAGCTCGAATTCGTATGTATATAAATATCGAAATACTATAATAAGAAAAGATCGAAGGGACCGATCTTTCGGAGGGGAGATATAATTTACTTACTATATAAAAATTTTATAATAACTCGACCCTTACTAAAGCTCGATTATAAAAAGCTTAGATTATTTAAAATCGACGAAGTTATCTTAGATACTAACTATAAGCTTTCGCTACCCTTAAGTATAAGAATATACTTAGTTTTTTATATCTTATTACTCGAAGAAGTATTATAAAACGTAGAAATAAATTATAAACTAGAAGTCCTCGAAAAACTTTACGAATTAGAATAAATCGTCGATAAATAAATAATAAATAGAGAAGTTAAATACCTTATTAAATAAAAAGGCTATATAAGTAGCGAGAATATATAGGAACCCGCTAAATACCTTAAGAATTACCGCTATTTATTACGATAGTATTATTAAAGGGAAATATATCGGGTATTACGCTCTAATCGATAACCTTAAATATACCTAACTCCTAAGTATACCTAATTACTTATTACTCTTTAAGAATAGCCTCTTCCTAAGAATATACCCTATCCTCCTTATCTAACTTACGTATATTATAAGATACTAACTCCGAGGTCCGACTTCGAAGTAGTTCTCGTTAGTAACGAAGACGCTAAACGCGCCCTAGAGTTTCTTAGAGCTCCCTCTTGGATTTTTCTAAATCCGCTTTTACTTATTTCTACTTAGATACTATACGCGTTACTAAGATATAGGTTAGTATATATACGAAAAATACGTATAGTACTTATAGTACGACGCTATGCTAGTACTATTATAAGTCTTCTTTATTTCGATATATAACGTATAACGACGGGAATTACTACTTATATAATAAACGCGTTTAGCGCGATAATAACGAGTATAGGGTATCTCGCTCTTAGAACCGTTAAGATAAATAGCTTTAATTAGGATAGCGCGATATAAGTTATTAGTCCTCTTATAAGAAAATAAATATTTCTATATATAGTTAAGTATAATAAAAGGAAGAAGTTACTAAATATAACTTACGAAGAACGACTAACGGGTTTTAGCTAATTCTAGGATAGAATCTCGGAAGGGGAGATATTATATTACGACCCGATATACGACTATATACGCCTCTTACGTGCCCCTTGCTTTTTTCCTCTTATTATACGTTACCCGTATATTACGTAGAATAAACGACTGTAGGCGACTAGCGACTATAGTTAACTATGCTATAAAGGCGCTCGTAGATAATAGTCGCCTATCGTCGACTATATAATATTTACTTAGTATATAGGAAGCCTAGCTTTACTATAGCTAGTCTCTACTAGCTCCTTAGCTATTAATATAATTATCTACGTAAGATCTACTATCTCGTATATAGACTATAACCCGACCGCTTAAGTTAACGATATCCTAGTATACTTAGTTTATAAACCGACTTTAGATCTACCTACCCTATAGCTAGCCTGACCCGAACGTCATAAAGAGGCAGAGAATCGCTTATAATTATAAAGGGGCCCTCGGGTAATAATTAGTAACTTAATCGTATATTAAAAATAAGGCTCGCTAGGATACTCCTAAAGAAGGAGTTAATTATATTTAATTATACGTATAATAAGTATCGTTAATAATAGTATCTAATTAGTATAAAGGCGGCTTTTATAGGCCGTTGCTTATATAAGGAATCTTATTTGGGCACCTAGGTGCGACACTTATTTAGGCACCTGGGTACCCGCCTATGGGGCCCCCCCTAGCGCCTATCTTTTAGTCACCCCACGGCGGGGTATGCTAAATGCGACCGCTTACTCCGAAAGATTTCTCCCACGCGACAGGCCACGCACCAAGAACCTGCCATCCAAGATGGCCGCTCAAGCACCCACGGAGGCTCTGAAAGAGCTAAAGGGTACGTCTTCTATGTCTGAAACGCTCACCGGTCAGCATGGACTGACAAAGACAGTCGCCGATCCATCAGCTGATGGCAAGGCTACCGAGAACAATGGGGAGAACGGCGTTGACGACTCCGACGACGATGCCGAAGAGAACGAGGGAGCACCGGGCGCCGGCGGCGCCAAGAAGAAGAAGAAGAAGAGAAAGCCGCGCAAGAAGAAGAAGACTCCCACGAGCCAGACCGAGCCTCCCCGAGTGATGGTCAGCCAGCTCTTTCCCAACAAGAGCTATCCCAAAGGCGAGGAAGTCGAGTACAAGGACGACAATCTCTACAGGACTACAGACGAGGAGAAACGCCACCTCGACAATCTCAACAGCGACTTTCTGGCGGACTACCGTGAAGCGGCAGAGGTGCACCGACAGGTCCGACAGTACGCGCAAAAGGTGATCAAGCCCGGGCAGTCGTTGACGGAGATTGCGGAGACGATTGAGGACGGCGTACGAGCACTGGTTGGCCACGATGGGTTGACCGAGGGTGATGGCTTGACTGCTGGCATGGGCTTCCCTTGCGGCCTGAGCTTGAACCACTGTGCGGCACACTTTACGCCCAACGCGGGAGACAAGGTCGTCCTGCAACAATCAGATGTCATGAAGGTCGATTTCGGTGTCCACGTTAACGGACGTATCGTCGATTCCGCCTTCACCATGTCCTTTGACCAGAAATACGACAACCTCCTCAATGCGGTCCGTGCGGCCACCAACGCGGGTATTCGCGAGGCTGGTATTGATGCACGGGTCGGCGAGATCGGCGGCGTCATTCAGGAGACGATGGAGAGCTACGAGATTGAGCTCGACGGCACGACCTACCCTATCAAGTCTATCCGCAACTTGACAGGACACAATATTCTGCCTTATAGCATCCATGGTACGAAAGCCGTGCCCATCGTCAAGAGCAACGATCAGACCAAAATGGAGGAGGGCGACGTGTTCGCCATCGAGACGTTTGGCAGCACCGGTAACGGTTACGTGAGGGACGACATGCAGACCTCCCACTACGCGAGAAAGGAGACATCAGGGCACGTGGACCTTCGACTGAGCTCAGCCAAGTCTCTGCTCAATGTCATCAACAAAAACTTTGGCTCGCTGCCCTTCTGTCGACGTTACCTCGACAGGCTGGGCCAAGAGAAATATCTGCTAGGCCTGAACAGTCTCGTCCAAGCTGGCGTTGTGGAGGACTACCCGCCGTTGGTCGACAAGAAGGGTTCATACACAGCGCAGTTTGAGCATGTAAGTCAATACATGAGCCTTGGAGAGAGCCATACTAACTGTTCTGCAGACCATTTTGATCCGACCGACGGTGAAGGAGGTCATCAGTCGCGGCGAGGACTACTAAACGCCCGCAGTGCTAGAACAATAAACCATTCTGAAGCATTTGTGCTGTGACCCGTGATGATTCACAGAGGTAACGTAGAGTGATAATGCAATGTGACCTGACTGGTCCGATGCCTTCGATTCAGGGTCCTCGGATCTACAATCGACATCCCATCGCGAACATTCTCTGGAGATTCGAATATTGAGAAACCTGGAGAACTCTCCTGTTCAGCCAATTATGCCGAACCTTTGACGTTGACATGATCCGGTTTGCCTCCGCATTGCCGTTGCCACCCGCGCCCCGGGAGAACATTCCCACTTCTCCTGGGCCCTGGCGAACGAGCCAGAAGCAAAGCGCTCTAAACCCGGAAGGCCAGTGCTGGCGGACCAATCACATTGCGTACACACTGAATCTCGCTCCGTTCTTTTCTCGCTGAGCGCAGCACTACTTCCCGATCTGGCATAGTCTCTGTCGCTCCCGCCGCTCCGCGCTCGGTACGGTAACCCTCCTAGAAAAACCTTCACATGCTGGACATTGTCGAGCCTGCTGAATAAAACCCGCAATCTCCCTTTGCCCTTACTCACCCATTTCCCCATATTACTCATTCACACTTCCAAACATCACCACGGATCACGACAAGATACTCCATCAAGGATTTTCGTCGTGCCTCCTCCTACATTCGTTTCGCCTTACCTCGAACAAGTAGAAAAAAAAAAGAAACTCAGCAGTTGCTCGGTCGCCCCTGCCTCGACACGGACGCGACTGTTATCGAAATCTCCAAATTTCGCCACTGAACACCACCGTCAAGCCCAACAGCTATCCGGCAAGCGTTCTCAACCTTCTCTCGACACAAATCGCTTTCAACCTCCAGACCTTCCTTGACCATGAAGGTCTTTTCCAACGCCGTCACCTACAACTACTCGTGGGACGAGGTGTCATCGGCCAACTGGCAGAAATACGGCCCCTGGAACAACAAGTCAGAGCACGTTATCGCTGTCGACACACTATCACGATCCGTCGATCCCGCCACCGGCGTCCTCCGAACCGAGCGTCTCATCTGCTGCAAGCAGTCTGCCCCAGAATGGATCAAGTCCATCTGCGGCAAGGTAGATGAAAGCTACGTCTACGAGGCCAGCTACGTCGACCCCTCAAACAAGACCCTCACCATGGTGAGCCAGAACTTGACATGGAGCAACCTGGTCTCCGTGCAAGAAGAGTGTGTGTACTCGCCACTCTCCGAGGGCGAGACTCTCTTTAGCCAGAGCGCGCGGATCACAGCTCTCTGCGGTGGCTGGCAAAGGATACGCAACAGCATCGAAGACACACTCGTCACACGGTTCCACGAGAACAGCATCCGGGGTCGTGAAGGCTTTGAGCGCGTCCTCGAGATGAGCCGCAAAGTCTTCGCCGAGGAGAAGGAGAGGCTGCAGCGTGAACAGATGATTGCGGCATAAGCTCCGTTGCTCATGCTTCACGTGTACATTTCATCGGCGTTGGTTCAGTCTGGTTTTGCATGGCAGCATTGCTTTACGGCGTTTCAAGAGAGGTTGCATGGTTAGAAGGCATAAAAAAAGTTGCTTGAGGAGCGAAAGAAATTATACCCGGTTTACCGATAGATTAGACTACCGGGTAGAACGACTTACGATGTTCTCTAGAGAAATAATATCCCAATATTACCACTAACCACAACATGGGAGTCATTTCCTTGTCAATGTTTGTCACACTGCGGGATGCTATCGTTGATCATGCTAGCTTGAGAAATCTATACTGCCAATGCGGGAACGAAGCATCACCTTTGTCGTAGTAAACCCAGCCCACTCCGACTCGTCTCGACACACCCTTCTGAGTCCGAAGACCTAGGAAGATGGACTGCGTATCTGGGGGGTCAGTGATCGTATCTGACGCGACAATCGCAACCAGCTCATCAAACTGTGTGCTTTGGGCGTCGTCGAAGCGAAACTCCCCCTTGTGAGGCCCGATCTTTAGGGAGCATATTGGACTGGCCTCGGTCTTGCGCTCGAGCATAACGCCAGTCGCCTGTATACAGGCGCCCACAAAGCCCAGCTCCCCGACTTGGAGCTCAGGCAACTCGAGAGAGGCACCGTGGTCCCTCAGGATTTCCATGTCGATGCCGAGCTTGTCTTGTGCATATGACAGGAACCGGTGACATTGTTCAGTAACCGCTGCGTCCTCCGCCCCCTCACACGCAGCTTTCCACATCTCGTCGGTCCAGAACTTGCGTGCACTGTCGCCGTAGTGCCAGTATGGGGTGAGGACGTGCATTTGCTTCTTCTTCATGGGAGCTTGCGAGATATTCCGCGATAGCCAGAGGCTGTCTGCGAAGACAAACTCAATGGGGCCATCCCACGACGCCCTGTGACGGAGTTAGTCGAATCACCTTGACTTTCCGAGTGAACTCACCATGACCAAAAGGAGAACGAAATGTCCGTGTCCTCGCATACTCGCCTCCTAGTTTCCTCTGAAGGAAACCACAACATGGCTTGATATAGATAATCGGTGGGAATGCCCTGCGTTTGCTCAAGGCTAAGCTTACTCCGGGAGACACCTTTCGAGAATCGGTTGAACACCCCCTCGAAAGCGTGGAGAACATCTTCGGGAAACGTCAGCGTCTTGCGACCGTAGTCTTGCACGGCAGCCTGGTAGTCCTTGATGGTGAGCGTCCCAGTCAGGTCCCCCAGATAGCGGTACGGTGTGGGATCCGGGTCCTTGCGCAGCTTCCTGTTCCACCATGGCGGACCAGTCCTGACCGTCAAATCGTGGTCTTCGCTCAGTGGCTCGAGCGCGTACGCTTCTCGCCACTGGAGCTGGATGCAGTTGAAGTAGACCTCGTTGTCTGTAAAGTACAAGCATCTCTGAGACAGCGCTTGCTCTTGAAACGTCCATCCGCGCGTGTTCCAGACCGAACTTCGGACCTCGTCATTCAGGGTTGGTGGTACCAGGCTAAGATGGATTTCGTTGCCCTCATCGACAATCGTCACGGCATTGATAGGTCTGCCTCGTCGAGGACCGACACCACTGAGACCGGCATCCGCATTCGTACCCGACACCGCGATGTATGTGACGCTGGCAATGTCGTAGACGTTGTCCATTGCTTGTATCAGATAACCTTTATCTTCTTTGTCGTCTTGCACGATGCAGAGTGTGTCGATCCAGAGGTAGCGCATCCCAATTCTCCTTGAGAATTCCATCGCGTCTGTTACCGTCTGCGGTAATCGCACGCCGTGCATAGCTTCGATGGACGTTTTTGATAGGCCACCCGGGTTGCTGAGACGTTCAAGGTTATTCTTTGTAGTCAGTAGGATAGGCACATCCTCTGTCTTTCCACAAGGACGCAGAATGGTGGGCAAGCGGCCCCAGACATAAGACAGCGCAGCGAATGCACAGGGCTGATTCTTCAGAACAAGACACTCATCTTGCACATCGATGAGTCGAAAGCCTTCTCTTGCCCCGAACAGTTCAGTGTCGAATTTCTCTCTGTCCATTTGCTCAAGCGCTCTGGCTGTATGAGCGTGCTGCTTGCAATCGCGCAGCCATTGTCTGACCATCTCGTAATCAATGTCCGCGTCGACAGCGCGTCGAGGAATGAGGGAGGGCGCCCGAGAGTTCGTGTCGGTAGAGCCATGGCCACCTGATACCGACTCTATCTCGGCGATAATGTATCGATCCTTGACACGATCTACTTCTCGGATAACTCGCCTGTTCTCGCTGTAGCCTGGTGGCGACGTGTCCAAAGCCAGCAGTAGCCGTGGCTCAGGGTGTTCCGTGACACCATCCCTCTTCACCGAGATGGGACTTCGGCTCTGGATGAAGGCATTTGGAATCTGGTCAGCCTCTGCGACCAACCTCGCAGAAGAACACCCTTCACCCCATTGGGACTGGACTGCATTGGATAGCAGGTTGCAAAAGGGGCAATCGGGTTCGAGGTAGTTGGAGAGGGGCCCCAGCTCCTTGGATGGCTTCTCCGTCAGCAGTAAGGCATATAGGTCAAGCTTGCCGCAATTTGCACAAAGATCTGACAAGGACTCTGTCCTTTTCTGGTTCTGTCTTTCGGGTTGTTCACCGCTAGCGTTCGGTGATGAGGGTGATGGTGGACGTCGCCGGCTTGCGGGGTCACAGACGAGGCGGAGGGCGTGCTGGATCTTGTCCGTGATGGTCATGGCAACTCATATTACGCCGTCGGACGATGAGAGGGTGGAAAAGGTCGACAGGGATGCGGTAAGAGCGGGTTTACAACATGTACGTATTTCCAGAAATTATTCCAGCTGAGCACTCAGCAGCACCAGGCTGCAGGTTGATGCGACACACGTGCAGCGTCCGCTCCCATATTTTGGCAAGGCACTGAAATGGTGAGCACTGAGAACGTGAAGGGTTGATCCCCGGATAAGATGTTCAAACTTGGTCCGAGTGGGCTATACGATGTACACGCTCGAGAGGCGTCTTCGATAGCAGGCAGCCTCTGTCTTGTTAGGGTCTCCACAGAGTACAGACAACGGTCCTGACTCCTATACACACATGCCCAACGTGATAGACCGCAGGAAATAGAGATGAGTGGGATTAGATCAGATCATATCGTTGCCAGATTAAATCAGCCAGATGTGTGTTGCACTCGCCTCGTTGCCTAAACTGCGAACAAATGACTGAACCAGGAAGATGTTCTCGATGTCTTCCAGAATCTTTCCACGCTACCTCAACCTCAAGGCACGTTGGCTCCTTCGAGGTCGAATTGATCGGCGCGCGAACTCTATTTGCCTGAAATCATATGCGCGCCAATCTGATGCTGACCAGGATCCAGTCTTCCAGTGACTCCTGTGAGCATGTGAAGTGGCTTCAATTATGTACTCGCCAATTCGTTGATTTAGCAGAGGGAAGACGCGGCCAATTGTCAAATGACTTGGCGCTCAGCGCTCCGCAGCTCAACGGCCCTATTCTCTGCGCCAGGAACGAGGATTGCCAGCAGCGTCTGGTTTCAGACAAGCTGAGAGCCTGAGACACACAAGGACGAGCGAAGACGGGCACTGAGGCAGCGTGGTGCCGTCGGATTCGCCGGGGGCTAAGACCTTTAATGATCCTTTGAATGGGGCGTCGGGTGCTTGGGACAAGGATGTTTGATCAGGCAGACGAATCTGGCTGGGAATTGCATCACCAGAACCCGACTCGAGTTCCAATTGCCCTTGCAGAAGCGAGAGCTACATCGTTGGTGTCTGGTGGGGAGAAGGATGGTGAGAGGCAGCCACACGCTCAAACTGCATTTCCAACACGAGCATTGAGCGGCGTCCGTGGCAATGCAAACGAACCTCAGCGCTGGAAATTGAATCGGCCAGATGGACCCTGAGATTCGTCAGCGTGCGCAGCATTCTCCACGCACCAATGAGGTGCATGGCGCACGGAGCATGGCCGCTTCTGCGCGCGGCACACACGCACACCCTCCTATTAGTTCTGGCCTCCTCCAGCTGGATGCCGAGGTCGAGTCGACGAACTGGAGACTAGAGACTGGGCCAACAAGCCTCTCCCGTCTAGAGATGCCCTCCATGCCCAATCGCGTCCCTCCCGGCGCTGGCTTAATTATTAAATTCTCCCAACGTTAGGCTGCTTCCGTCAGGTCCTTTTTCGCCAAGATGGCTGCATGGACCAGGCCAGCAGGGTCGACCACCTTTGTTGCTCGGAGCATTGACTGACTTGACTGACTGACTTGTTGACTCGTCTTTCCTTCACCTTGCTGGACTGACTACCGATTCTGTCCTCTAATTACAGCAGACAACGCATCTTCGCTCGACGTCTCCGGCCACCATGAAGACCTTCACTCGCGAAGCCGTCCGCGACCAGGGCTCCTCGGTCGACAACCCGTGGTGCATCATCGACTCGGTCGTCTATGACCTCTCCGAACTCCTCGACACCCACCCGGGCGGCGAAGCTGTCCTGCGACAGATCGCTGGTCAGGATGCCACATCGGCCTTCTACAGCCTGCACCGCCAGGAGGTCCTCGCGTCCTACTCCGAACTTGTCATCGGCTCCATCGAGGGCGAGAAGCCCCAGATCATCACACCACAGCCCGGCGACCTGAGCCCCGTGCCGTACGCGGAACCGCTGTGGCTGCGAGGCGAGCCCTTCCGCTCGCCATACTACAACGACAGCCACAGGCGACTGCAAAAGGCTGCACGGGTGTTCACGGATCGCTACCTGGTGCCCGAAGCCAAGGAATGCGAAGCCACGGGGAAACTGCTCAGCCAGGAACTCATCGACCGCATGGAGAAGGTTGGGCTGCTCCGAATGCGCCTGGGACCGGGAAAACACTTGCATGCGCGCAATCTCTTTGACGGCGCTGTCAAGGGCGAGGAGTTCAACTACTTCCACGTGGTCATCCTCGCGCAGGAGATGGCGCGGCCCATGGCCAGAGGCTTCCAAGACGCCAACATGGCCGGCATGACTATTGGTCTTACGGTGCTGTTGAACTTTGGGCCAGAGAGCGAGTGGAAGACGAGAATATGCGACGAGGTGTTCAGTGGGCAGACAAAGCTGTGCCTCGCCATCACAGAGGCGTTCGCTGGCTCGGACGTGACGAGCATACGGACGACCGCAGAGAAGACGCCCGATGGGAAACATTACGTGAGTCCCTTCCACACCTACGTGATCCAATCCGCGTCAGGGATCGAGAGCCGGCCCCCGAATCGTCTACTTATAAATGCAACGCGAGACTGACCCGGGCCCGTTCCCCCATATACAGATTGTCAATGGCACAAAGAAGTGGATTACCAACGGCACGTGGAGCGACTACTTTGTCACGGCCGTGCGCACCGGCGAGGGCATCAGCGTCATCCTCATCGAGCGCGGCGAGGGCGTCGACACAAAGTCCATCAAGACGTCCTACTCGTCCACCGCCGGCACCGCACTCATCACCTTTGACAACGTCAAGGTGCCCGTGGAGAACCTACTCGGCAAGGAGAACGACGGCATCCGCATGATCTTCAGCAACTTCAACCACGAGCGGTGGGCCATGTGCTGCAGCGTGCTCAGCCAGTGTCGGGTCGTGGTCGAGGAGTGCCTCAAGTGGTCCAACCAGCGCATCGTCTTTGGCAAGCGGCTCATAGATCAGCCCGTCATCCGGCAAAAGTGAGTGCCCTCCCGGATCCCCTCCGCAGTAGCAAGAAAACTAACCAGGTGCAGGCTGGCCAAGATGATTGCTCTCGTCGAGTCCAACCAGTCCTGGCTCGAGTCCATTACTCACCAGATGTGCAATATGCCGTACACGGAGCAGGTTCGGCATCTCGCTGGCTCCATCGGCCTGCTCAAGATGAGCTGCACGCGCGCGGCGCATGAAATCGCCGACGAGTCTGTCCAAATCTGGGGCGGCCGTGGTCTGACGCAGACGGGCATGGGTCGTCATATCGAAATGTTCAACAGGACGTACAAGTTCGACGCCATCCTGGGCGGGGCGGAGGAGGTCGTGGCGGATCTTGGCGTGCGGCAAGCGATAAAGAATTTCCCAAAGGCGATGCTATAGTGGGTTTGAGAATGGGAGGGATTTGCTGTGCAATCAATGAGTGGTGCCTGTGAGGTTGTCAACTGCCCAACTGTACACCTTACCGAACGTATTCTTCTCAAGAGCACACAAAAAGAGGCCTTGGAAGCTACACACACCACAACAAGCATCTCGTACACACAACGTTTCATCCTGGTCCATGTGATAGACCAAGCGCAATTTCATCTCGTCCTGACTAGCAACTGACCGAGCCCACATAGCCTGGCTCTCAACACCAACGTCCCCGCCATATCATCTCACCCATCACCGCCTGGATGGTCACCAGGTATCCGGAGTGTTGCCGAATGTGCGTGTTGCTGCCGAAATGCCGCCGTGTCGTTTCGTCGAAGTCGTTAGCTGCTCGCCCGAGCAACGCGAGTTGCCGATTCTCCGAGCCGTGTACCGAAACAAGTCCCTTCCTTTGCTTTTTGTTGCCGAAGCCCCCAATGCTCGAGGAAACTTTTCTCAAGGTAAGAAGAAAAAAAAAGGATGAACAGGAAACGAAAAACAAAAACATCATCATCCATGTCGTCGATGTTGTGTTCGTGACTCGTCAAATCAAACGCGTGAACAAAGAAAATGAAAAGCCGAGATCATCGTGGGTATCGTGAGCTGCCACGCCAACTAACCTCCCCATCGTCCGAGTCGTGTGTACCGTTCGTGCAACAGGGAGTTGGGTTTCCCCTGGAAGCTTGTCGAAATTAGGCGTTGGGGCAAGCGGCCTGGACGTGACCAGACTGCTGACACTTGTAGCAGATCTTCTCGCCACCAGCAGACTCCTTGGGGCAGTCGCGCGAGTAGTGGCCGGACTCGCCGCAGTTGTAGCACTTCATGCCGTTGACGCACTCGCCTGTGATCCTTGTTAGCCCTCCGCAACGCCAAGCGGACGATTGTGTGTATACGTACGGGACATGTGGCCGTGGCCGCCGCAGGAGTAGCAGGTCTTTCCGGCGCTGTTACCGCCGAAGCCACCACCGAAGCCAGCGTTGCCGCCGTAGCCACCAGCGGTAGGGCAGTTGCGGGCAATGTGGCCAACCTGACCGCACTGCGAGATTGTTAGCAGCCAGTACCGACTGGATGTTGGATCGTAGGACAAACCTTGTAGCACTCGGTCGAGCCACGGGGAGCACCAGAGCCGCCGTTCATGGGGCAGTCGCGGGAGATGTGACCGGCCTGGCCGCACTTGTAGCAGGCCTTGTTGTCCTTCATGGGCTCCTGGCAATCACGGCCTAATGGTGATTAATAGGTGCGCTACCCGAAAAAAGCATGGTTCGTAGCACTCACTCATGTGACCAGCACCACCACAGTTGTAGCACTTAGCAGCAGGCTTGTTGGGGCAGTCACGGGACTGGTGGTCAGGGTTGCCACACGAGTAGCAGGCACGGGGAGCGTAGGAGTCCATGATGTTGGAAGGGTGTCTATCGAGGGGGAAGTCAGTGTTTGCTTCCTTGCAGGCTATGTGCCACGAGTATGCATTGTGATGAGGTTCTGTTACACGATCGCCCGCGAACGAAGGTTTGTCGCGAAACGGCGACTAAACGGTAGAAAGTTCAGGGTAGTGGCGGGGCCACGCGTGAACATGAACCTTGGGGAGGGCGTGAAACTAACTTTGAATAGCGAGTCTGGAGAAAATGACAGAAGAGTCAATTGACGATATCTCAAATGCACAGCGAGGTGTTTTGAGAGAGAAGAAAAGTGAGGTGTGAAGGGAAGAAGTTTTGAGCACACGTTGAGCAGAGAATTTTGGAGAAGGGCAGCGGGCGGTTTCTTCTCAGCACCACTGCGCAGGCGGGCGAGGGGCAATGGCTGATTTTTTTGTGGCTCCAGTCCAGTCCCAGTGAATTCCGGGTCGCGCACAACCGTTTCCACTGGCTGGCTGCCCACTAGACTACCTTAGTTACTGTACGTATTATTATAGCTTCTGCAGGTGCGCAAGAAGCAAGACACCTGCTGTTGCTGCAGCGAAGGCCAAAGTTGGCAGGCTTCTTTTCATGTGGAGCTCAGCAAACACTGATCCTCGGGTTGGTCTGGTAGGGGTCCTAGAGCCAGATTGAGGGGTCAACGGTGAGGCTCAAGTCTTGGAGCTGGCCACGCACGCCCCCAGGCCTATCTCTTACGGTGTATGAATCTGGGTCTCGCATTCCAGCTTATTGATGCAGCACCATTCATCCTCCAAGAAGCCCGGCCGTTGGCTACAGGTACTAGCTAATGCGATAAGGTTGGCGCTGCTGGTAGTGGCAAGCATTCTGGGATTGGCTCTGAGAAGCGCAATCCAGCTCAGGCAAGTGTGGAAGCGGGGGCGGGGCTGATCTAGATCTGGAAGCTCGGCTATTGGTCCAGTTCAGTCGCCTTCCAACGCCGAGCCCCCATCGAGTACCCTAGGTCCCTAGCCACAGCGCACGGTTTCTCGACGAGAACGCCCTCAATCTCATGCACGTGATGCTGCGCCCCCTTCTACGTAATATGTAGTAGCAGGACGACAACGGACTCCAACTCCATTGAATGTGTGGTCAACACATTACAAAGCCCGCCATTGGGGACCGCACTGAGACAAGACGCGTACAACATTCCTCAGGTGCCTCAATTGTATCCTATTCTTCGTTGACCCCTTTTCAGGTGGAAGATATTGATATGCTATTTGCACATGCATGTATATTTGTACTTTGAGGTGACCTTCCGTCGTTCAAATTGGTCCCAGCCTAGGACGAGAGCTTGAAACCCCCAACCCTCTTCTGCAAGACCTGTGCATGGTCATATTTCTGGCTGACTGACGCCAGAAACTCAAAGTTGTCTTTGCCGTAGGACCGCAGTGGTTCTTGGGACGGCGCGGCATAATTGAGATACTGGAAGCCCTGTAACAGTCCCTTTGCGTCGGCACCGGTTTCCCATGCGGAGGTGACCGAGCGGGCTGCTGCCTCGACCTCCGCATTGACTGCCGAGTTCGGCCACAGGGCGGAGATCAAAACAACTGCTGTGGCATTAGTGTAGTGTCCAGCTGAGAACATGCAGAAACGTACTGAAGCCGTCTTGGGCTGTTTCGAGTCCAAGGACATTCGCGTCTTTGGGACTCTTCAACATGGCTGCGACCAGGGGCTCGAGGGCGACGCTCCATGTCACGCCACCTTCTGGGTTGAAGGACGATACTGTGTTATTCAGCATATCGAACATGTCTTGCATGTACTGAGCCGACGGCTTCAGTGTGACTGTGGCGAAGAGCCAGTTCCTGTATCGGTGAGCTTCGTCCGATTGAACTCGGGATCAGGGGACTTACAATGGTGGCGTGTCTGATTCATCTGCAAAGGTTGCCAGGGACGTGATGTTGCGAACGAGGGATTCGTGCGGAACCGCGGAGAGATTGGCAAATACCGCAGGCTCGGAGACGGGCTTGGTGTACACAGCTGAGGATGCCAGCGTCCACGCCTTGGATGTCGATCTGTAGAGGAGGCTGGTAACCAAGGACGCCAGAGGATCGTATCGCGACGAGTCAAGCAAGTCAGTGAAGGCTTGAAAGACTTTGCCCCTTTGGGATATGTCGTACGAGATCGACGTCGTGGATATGTCGCCCAGTGGGAAGGTTGCAAGGTCGTATCGAGTGACGACTCCGAAATTGTTGCCTCCCCCCTTCAAAGCCAGGAACAAGTCTCGGTTGCAGCGCTTGTTGGCGTTCACAAGTGAGCCATTTGCAAGGACAACCTCGTAGTTCACAACGGCGTCACAAGCCCATCCATGTTTGGTGGTGAAGTGCGATATTCCTCCGCCAACGAGAAGTCCTCCTACGCCGACATTCCCGTTGCGTCCTCCCGCCACCTGGACTCCGGACCCGTCAAGGTGCTGGTAGACGTCAAGCCACTTTGCTCCAGCCTCGACACGCGCAATCGACTGGCCTTCATGAAGAGAAACCGATGACATGGATGTCATGTCAATGGTGACGCCACCATCTACATTGGCGAAGCCTGCTGCAGGGGCATGACCATGCCCTTTGATTGCAAAGTGACAATTGCCGTGCTTGCTGATGATCTTGAGGGCCTTTGAAACATCTCGAGCTGTCCTGGGCTGCAGCACACAGGCTGGTTGAAGCGAAGACTCCTGTATCGACCAGTAGCCAGACATCGTGGCATTGTAGTCCACATCCTTTGGGAAGCTGACCGAACTGCCTAGTCGTTTCTCAAGTCGATTGCACTATCAAAGTTAGCTTTTCTGCCGACTGGAGACATTCGGGGATTTCTAGTCGTACGCATGATGATGCTGAAGCGCTGGCGACTAGCAGAGCCCCAGCGACATATGCAGTCTGAAGAAACAACATTATCTCCTCCGGTCGAGCCAATTGATTTGACACCGTGGTTGCGATAAAGGCGCTCAATACATGGGCGCTGAACTATGACTACTTGTACTCATTCTCAAATACTAGTTATAATGTTCGGGCCGAATGATCCTTGTTGTAAGCATTTAGCCAGCATTTGGCGCTGGTCATTTGGCCGCTCGCCGCACACAGTCGGCTCTTCGGCATCCTGCTTGACTGGAGACCCCAGAGTAACCCCAGAGTAACCCCGTTATTCCTCAGAGGCTAGATGTCAGGTGAGAATGATGAACTTTCATCATCGAATGCGTGCTACCGTTCGTGAGATCGTCAACGGGGATGAAAGGCTGTGAGAATGCCGCTCTACCTGCATGTGCATATTGGACACACATGGTGACCACGAGCTATCCTCGAGGAGCCAACGAGAGTTGGCCAGACCTTCACACCTTCTTGCTATCACTTTGCAAATCCTCCGGAACGGCACAAGCAGCCAAGACAGCACCCTGGTCCCGAACAGACTCGCGTGCGTGCGCAATCGGTGCGAACCACGCGGCTTCGGAGTCATGCTTGCCCGTTCGGTGTGCTCGATGTGGGCTGGCACGATACCTGCTGCTGAAAGTATTGCGTGTGAATTAGACGAGCTGCATCTCGTTCTCGGCCTATATACGTATAAGGCCGAGATAGGATGACGTGCCCAGTCCAACCTGGTTTGAGGCAGATCTTGGTCCCAAGTACGGAGTACGTGGCCGCCAAACATGAGTACTCAACTCATGATAACTGCAGCAAACAAGGATATCCTAGAGCAGCGAAATATTCAATGGCGTCACTTCCTGTAGCGCGTGGTGTAGTAGATATCTCCAAGAAGATGTCACTTGGATGGGATCATGGGATCGCCGTTGGTGAGAATGCTTTGTGCACGCCTTATGTTGGGAAAAGGAGATGGCGTCGGGAATGAAGCAAGAGCGTACTCAAGCTTGCTATCCGTCTTCGACAAGCTCAAATAAAGACAGACAAGCGCCTTGACGTAAATTAATCAAATCGATTAAAATATTGTTAAACGAAGAAGACATTGGACCTTGAGCATGGCCCACCGTCAGGGTGATCGTCTGGTCACGTGGGTTGGCGACTGATGCATTTGTCGCGTTTGGGGAAACGCGTCTGTCGTTACAGTGCCCATCTTCAACCCGACTACGCCAGCGTCGCGACGTCAGAGACCATTTAGAAAGCCGCAAATGCATCCCAGCGGCAATGGCGAGCTGGTTCGTAAGTGGGCGGCCGGCACTTATGGCTGCACTCGAGAATGTTTGCAGGCAAATCGATGATGAGATGGAAGCGGGTGAGCCTTACATGAACTCATCTCGTGGGTGCACGCCACTAATAGCTCAGAGGTCAATTGCAACTACAAGGACGCTGCCATTGACGAACGACCGAATCCAGTTACTCACGATGCCTCTGTGCAGACCGACGAACCTGACATCCCCTCACCTGAACATCTCAAGCGTGCCTACATCAAACTACAGCGCAAGTACGAGGCTCTCGACAAGCAGTTCAAGACTGCAAAAGATGCTATCGCGACAGCCAAGTCCGAAAGAAGCGGATGGAGACGCTACGCCGAACAACTGGAGCGCAGTATCAGCCACGCCCAGAATATCCACGGCATCGAAATCGCTGTCCTGCCACTGCCAGGCACAGTCAATCATGAGCCACCGGATGCTCTGAAAGAGCAATCTGCCGTGCGCGGCAGCAGTGTTCAGTCCGCAGATGAGAACCTGGCTGAGCATAGTCTGCTCCCCAGTACAGTGCCAGGGACCTCTCAAACTCACTCGGATCAGCCCGTGTCGCAGACACATGACTCTACCGCATCTACCCAGGATGGCTCCGAGCAGGGTACCCATACGGATCTCCCGCCCTTGCCAAAAGACAGCAACGTGGCCCCGGTCACGATCAAGCAAGAGATCTCGTCAGACACTCCGGTTTTTGTGTCTGAGAAGATCCTGCGAAAACGGAGGAGGACTGAAGAGGCCCAGGCCACAGCTCGCGCCATCAAGCCCGAACCCAGCGAATCGGGATCGAGTCCACTGGTCAGCCTGCACCATTGCAGCTTCGTCCCGCAGGAAAGCTTCGACCTCGACGCAACAGCTCAAGTTGTTGATACACCTCGAAAACGCAGGCAGCTGCAAATCATACATGAGCCGACACAACCTGAGCGGGTCCCTCCAATGGCGCCCCCTCCAGTTGCAGCTGCGTCTGCATCTCCAAGGGTTCCCGAGGAGACACGTACCCCACGTCAGCCATACTTGTCAAGTTTCTCTTCAGCTCTGACGCCTGTGGATGTGAATCGACGCCCGCAGAGGTCTGCCCCTGCTGCATCCACCGAGAAGCGGATGAAGAAAGGTCTCAGCGACGGCATAGGAAGCCTCGCCGAGGACAGCGGCGGGTACAGACCAGATGGCAGGGACAGAGCGCAGATGCCAGAGGCGAGTAAGGGTCGCCTCGACAGTCTGCTCAACAGCCCATCGCCAGCTCAGCAGTCAGCCTCGATCTTACGCCCGATTCGCCGAGCAAAAGACACCCAGGGGTTGCCCAATGACGAACTTGGCATTCCAAAACCACGAGCGTTGCCATTCGACCAGTCTGGACGAGCAACTCCCAAGCGGCCCAGTGATGTTCGGACCCCCCAGTCAGCGCGGACGCCTCTGGCAGAGACGACCAACAACTCTGTACTGCGCAACAGACAGCCGCCAAAGGGAAGCTTGCGCACCAAGAAGGTCGCCGAGCTACAGCTGGACGACTTTAGGATCAACCCAAAGTCCAATGAAGGCCTTGACTACGCGTTTTCAGATGTCGTTCGTAATAAGGATGAAAGAGCATGTTTGCAGGGCTGTGTGGCAGACGATTGCTGCGGGCCACAGTTTCGCGGGTTGGCACAAGCAGAGCGACCCAAGGAGCCACTTACCGGGCTCCAGCGTCAGGAGGAGCAGAAGCTGTTAGAGGAATATCTAGGAGACGACGCCTGGAAGATTGGGCAAATGGGCCCTGAAGAGCGTCTGAAGACATGGATAGAAGCAAAGGCGCGCCAACTGTCCAACAGGATCGGGACACACAAGGCCCGCTTCGCTCGTGTACGCTCGCCGCCGGGGTTCTGGGAAACCGACTTCCCAACCACGCAAGAGCGCGATCATGAGAAGGTGGAAGCTCAAAGGCGAGAGCGGCAGAAGGTTGAGGAACGACGTAGGGAGGCTATGCGCCCCGGCGGCGTCTGGGTTTTCAGGGACGAACTAGCGAAGTGACTCTGGACGTTGCAGTCTTCATGCTGGCTCGTAGAACTCGAATATTGTCCAAGCAACCCCGTACAATCCATATTGCCTGCTGTCTTCGCCACCTGCGCCTCGCACCCACGTTCATGACTTCAAGCAACATGCCCACGTGGAGCACGAGACATGGTGGATCGATGCTGTTACGGTCGCGGGGTGCCACGCCGCCAAACACTAACAGCCCTCGTCCATGTTTATTGTCCGCCTGAACCAAACACGCGAGGGCGCGCGGATGGCATTGTTAAAGCAGACCAGAAGAGTACGTAGCTGGTGTTTAGGGAGAATTCGAGGCTTTATGAACCTCTTCATGTAACCGTGTGTTGCTGTTCCACTACAGGCTGAATGCGTAGGTAGGTGGACGATCGGGAAATTTAAAATATTTCTCCAGAGGGCCCCCAATACTTGTTGACGTGCAACGGACGTCCAGTCGTCACACCCACCCTGCCCAGCCAGCACTCGCTTGCTTCAAGATCACCGGCCCCTTTGTTTTTCGGGTCAGAGAAATCCATCCCTAGGGAGGAGACTTTCGCTCTTGCTTGTCGCATAGTGGCTGCGGGCATTCTTGCACCTTGCGTCCATCCTCGTCGCGCGCTTGACTCGCCTCACACGACCGCATTACTTCGACCTTGCGACGACCTCATCCCGAGCCACACGCACCACGCTGCTGCGCCCAAATACCACCGACTCAAGGAGAACAAGACGCTCTTGGCGATCCACGGGTCTGTCGCATAGTCCATTGCGACGCCCGTGATCGTCTTCATCAACCCCAAGCCGGCAAGATGACAAACCGCCATCTGCCGGCTGGGCAAAGCCTACCACCGGCCAACGGTCCCGCCATCGCTCAGGGCACAGTCCTCAGCAGCAACCATAACATGCCTGCTGCGACGGATATGCCAACTGGCGGAGGCGGTCCGTCTGGGTCGCGCCGCAGGCATCACCAGTACCCGCCTCAGCACCACTACAACCAGCACCAACACCATCACCAACACCACATCCAGCAACAGCATCCCGCGCAGTATGCGGCGCCATACGCCCATCACCAGCAGCACATGGTCCCGCCGCAGCACATGTATGCCGGGGGGTATGGCATGCCATATGGTGCGCCTCAAGGCTACTATGGCATGCCTGGAGCGCAATACCAGACAAATGGTGCTAGGGGGGTGCCCAATGATCCTCGCTACATGCAATACCATCACCAGCAAGTCTATCCACAGTCCCCTCCAGCTGCTGCGGGCTACTCCCCCATGGCTGGTGTGACGGTCCCTCCAAGCTATCCCCGTCACTCTCAGCCAATGTCTCCAGCCCTAGCGACGCCGTACCAGCCTCCCCCAGCCCCGGCCGCGGCCGCGCCTCCCTTACCGCCCCAGACGCCCTCCTCGACACAGTCTTCGCAAGCCGTTCTTCCGCCTCACACCCCTTCCACGCCCCAGCTTAGCGAATACAGCGCCTCTGTCAAGCCTGCGTCGCCTGCTACATCTGTGGCACAGAAAGCAGCCCCATTTATCGCACCTGTAAGACCGACAATCTGCGCGCCAGTGTGAACGTTTGCTGATCTGTCTATAGCTCCCCTGGTTCTCCCACCCCGACGAGTCCTTCCCGGCGTGGAAGCCGAAGAGTTCACGGAAGAAGTTCACGTCTAGCAGCCTGGCTGTGTCTCTCCCTGTTGTTCAGCAAGAGCCCGCTTCTGAGTCGAACGAACCGAGCGAAAAGGCAGCCGCCGCGCCTGCATCGTCGAGTGCGACGGCGGGACAGACGAAGGATCAAGCGACAACTCAGGAAACCACCAACATCGAGCATGGTCAGCGCGCAGAGACCACCTCGAGTACACCTACCAGGTCGACAAACGTCCAAGAACATGGCTCAGTTCCTGCGCCAGTAGCTCCAAAGGATGCTTCTCAGAAGGCGGTTCCCGAGGTCTCGGGGTCGGAAGAGCAGACCACGGAGCGTGAGGGCAGTGACGAGGCTACAACAGCCCCAGTCCCGGCTCCGGCTCCGGCGCCCAAGCCTGCTCCGCCTACCAGCTGGGCCAACCTGTTCGCAAGGAACGCAGCCAACCGTGCTGCTGCCAGCCATGGAGATTCGAGTGTGTCCTCCGTCAATGGAGATGGCGCAAATGGCCCTTCAGGAACAAATCTGTTTCCCAAGACAGTGACGAACTCTGCAGGTGATGCGATTCACGCATACCGCGTCGGATCCAGCGGCAAAGCAGCATACATTGAGCCCCGTGGTTTGATCAACACTGGGAACATGTGCTACATGAATTCGGTTTTACAAGTTTTGATGTTCTGCGTCCCCTTCTACGATTTCTTGAACCAAGTCAGCCAGCGAGCTGCGCACAGTTTCAAAAGCGAGACACCCCTGATTGATGCCATGTACGTATAGCCAGCCCTCTTCACTCACTTGGGCAGAAAAGCCACTGACACACTCAGGATTATGTTTATGCACGAGTTCAAGGTCCTCCGACCGCATGGATCCATCGAGCAGCTTCGCCAATCTCTCAAGGCGGAAGACCTCGACAAATTTGGCGAACCTTTTACTCCCGAATTCGTGTACGAGGCCATAAGACAGCTTCCTCGATTTGCGAGTATGAGACGTGGGCACCAGCAGGACGCGGAGGAATTTCTTGGGTTCCTTCTTCAGTCGCTGGATGATGAGTGTACAGCCGTCATGGGCAACTCGTCGAGCAGCGATGCTCACCAGGCCCAGATGGATGCGTCTAGTGTCGATGGTCAGGCTGAGGTATCAGGCGACTGGTTAGAGGTGGGCCGCAAGCAAAAGGCGGCCGTCTCTCGCTCCTCGGGTACGAATGCATCCACGCCCATCAACAAGATATTCGGCGGCTTCTTGCGTTCCGAATTCCGTGTCCCGGGCCTCAAGGACTCCATCACCACCGAGCCATACCAGCCCCTTCAGCTAGACATCAGCACGCCCGACATTCGGAGCGTCACCGATGCCCTCCGTGGCCTGACAAAGCCGGAGCGTTTGCAAGGCGACTTCAACTCTCCACGCGGCAAGGATGTCTTGGCGACCAAGCAGGTCTTTATTGAATCTCTCCCTCCAGTGCTGATCCTTCATCTCAAGCGCTTCCAGTTTGACGCGGAGGGCCACGGCACTGTCAAGATCTGGAAGAAGATTGACTATCCCCTTGAACTCGAAATTCCCCCGCAAGCCCTATCACGTCAGAAGCGCCAAGCCCTCACGGAGAGCACAATGCCAAAGTACCAGCTTATCAGTGTTGTCTACCATCACGGCAAGAATGCCAGCGGAGGTCACTACACTGCTGATGTCCGTCGGCAGGATGGGCAGGACTGGCTCCGTCTGGATGACACTGTATTGCGTCGCATCCCCAGCGACGATGTCGCAGAGACTGGCTCCAAGGAGGAGCAAAACAAGGAGATTCGCAACAGGGAAGCGAATAGCAACAACAGCCCCGGTGCTTCTGCGAACAGGTTTGGTTCTATGAACGACGAAGACGATGAGGCTGGTGATGACGGGGATTGGGAGCAGGTGACGACCACTGCCGGAGGGAACAAGCGCTGGAGCAGCGTCATCAACGGCAACGGCAGCACCACGCCCAAGAGCAAGCAACACAAGGAGAGTGTGAAGGATAACAAGGTGGCTTATCTCTTGTTCTACCAGCGGATCTGATTCCAGATCTGTCATGTAGTGGCCAGACTTGCCTGGCCGTAGTCCTCCACGCAACCTCTTACGACTTACGGCCTTGGGGTGGTTAGAGAAAGGGACAGGACGCGTGAGCAATCACAAGCCTGGGTCCAGGGAAGAAGATCTTGTATGCGAATGCATCATGGCAGGTTCATACGAGCAAAGGCGTCATCTGTGGGGGGGCGGCGTTCCTCGGCTCGTGGGGCCTTGGGATGACAGGCGACGGCATCGGAGACAACATCCTCGGAAATGAAGATGCTGGCGATTTGCGTCTGGGAGAGAAGCTTTGGTGTTGCGGGAGTATGTCAAAGTACGGAGTACGCAACAGCAAGCTTTTGGTGGGCGATAGACGACGGTTGTTCAATCTGAAAAGCTTCGCATTTGAATTGAAGCACGAGTCGTATCATTCAATGTTTCTCATTCATGACGCTAGGAAAAGACGAGTGTTGTGCGACTGAGGACGAGACATCCTCCAGCTCCAGTCGAATGAGTTCAATACAGGGGATATACAAGCACTACCTCCCCATGTCTAGGAACGTTCTCTTTGTTCTAAGTTGTTTTTTCCCTTTCTCCGTATTGTTACATATTGCATGCACCCCCTCCAGTCATTCTCTCCTTTAGTGCGCCTTGCGGATCACAGTCGCGGCGTCCAGTGCATCCTTCTCGGCGAGCTCGGCCTCGACCTGCTTGATGATGGGGGCGAGGTAGGGAACGTCCTAGTAATTGTGTCAGTTATTCCAATTCTTGCTCGTAGCATATTCGAACGCGGCGTACGGTCTGGTCGTTGATCCACTCGTTCTTGGGAAGGAGCTTGTGCTGGTAGCTGCACTGCGCAGCGCGGCGAATACGGTAGACGCGCTCGTAGGCCTCCTTGGGCGAAAGACGCTTGAGGGCAATCTGGACAGCCTCGCGCTCCTCCTCGTAGAGATCGTCGTATCTACTCTGCGTCAGTCCTCTACTCTTCTCCGTGACGCCATTGCCCGGTCGTGGGCAATGGCTCTGGTGGGAGGGTGTGCAAACCTCAAACCCATCTTGCGGTACCCGGCGGCGTTGACGTACCACTTGCTGATGGGCATCATCAGCTTGTGGAGCCAGGGCCGCTTGACGATGAAGGGGGCGAGAGAGACCATCTTGTCGTCGTCGTCGTCGGTAGATGGATGTGATCGGTTGTGGTCGTCGTGATCGTGCTGCGCGATATCGTCCGGGTCCCTGCGATGAATTGGGAGGTTTCGGCAAAAGTTGGAATTGGGCAGATCACGTGGTTGTTTTTCAGTCAGCTCGGTTTAGTGGAAGGTCATTGGTGGACAGTATGCGAAGCGGGTCTCAATGACCCGTACTTGTCCAGGCTGTGGTCGCTTCAATGAAGGCACGCAGACAGGAGTTGGGTCATTCTGGTAATAAAGGGGATTGGTAGCAGGTGACGACCAGTCGGTAGATAATCCTGAGCAAGTCGCTCGGCTACTGAATTCCTCTTTACTTAATGCCATTCTAGGGTCAATATTGTGTTGCTTCCCCTCTAGGGTGCATTCATGTTGCAACAGCAACGGTCGAAATGATGTATATTGGAACATTGCGAAACACCTCACACTACAAAAAGACCAAACTTCGAATTCAATCAAGATTCTCTGCTTATTTCGGGAACAACAGATGTTCCTTGCATTTTAGATCACAGGCATCCAGAATCGACAAACCCGAGCACTTCCTTTGAGTACAGGGTAGGCCATTTGTCGAACGAAAACGGAGGTCCACAGGACGAAAATGGCGTCACTGGTCAGCGAACACTGACAAGACGCGAGACAGCAAACTTCACAGTCATTACCACAGTCAAGCCAATGGATGGCCCGAGTCGGTGAAACCAAACCATCACCGGAAGTTACTACCTTTCCCTTTGGCTCACTTCGGCTCACTTGATCACATGTCAATCCACACTTGAACGACAAAGTGTAGGGTATCTATCTCCCTCCGAGCGAGGTCCGGCTTTGCTCCGTGCCCCCAAAACTCCACCCTCGGCCAACTTCGCTTCTCTCACTACATCCACCATTCTAATCCCTCGTCTCGCTACTACCGCCCACGCACAAACGACGACCATATCGCCGATTACGCAAACATCCACGAGTCTACCGCCTCCCACTTCACGCCACTGCACCGTTTCTATGCCAATGGCCGGCGGCGTTCGTTGATCATACCGGTCACTGTGCGTGGGAGAGCGTTCCCCGCAGTGCCGGTAGCTGCCAGTGCCTGTGGTCACGATACGCATGGGCACCGCTTCCCGAGAAACCAAAACATCACCCTCATACATACGCTCGCGCGGCGAGTCCCCGAGGAACCAATATCATTTCGGCGGGGTACCGCAGCCCATGACACCGGCTAGGAGGAGACGAAACATAGAGATCAGAGCTCGAAGGAATGTCGCACGACCAGCAGTTGAGCCGGGCCAACCAGCCATCAACGACAAAGTATTATGCGACGCCAGACTATGGAGTGACCGCCCAAGTCTCTCAATCACCAAACGACACGGGCAGCACCTCGAACAACCGCCCAATGAAGAATCTAGACCGTCCGACATTGCTGCAGAGGTGGGCGGCAAGAGCGCCGGACTCACAGTTCCATGCCACCGCCGGTGCAGTGGGAGGGTTCACATCAGGGATTGTGACATGTCCGTTGGATGTGATCAAGACAAAACTGCAAGCCCAAGGTGGCTACACGCCCGTCGATAAAGGGCGACATGCTGGGCATCCTAAACTCTACAATGGCTTGGTCGGATCTGCTCGAGTGATTTGGCGAGAAGAGGGCATCAGAGGCTTGTATCGTGGGCTTGGACCGATCGTTCTTGGGTATCTCCCGACATGGGCGGTGTGGTTCACAGTGTACAATGAGGCCAAGACCGTCCTCGGCCACCATTATGGTACGTCTCACCTCCACGGGATTCCGTACTTGGAAAGCTAACGAGTCCAGAAAACCAACACATTATCAACTTCTGGTCGTCCATCGTCGCAGGCGCCAGCAGTACGATCGTAACGAACCCCATCTGGGTAATCAAGACGCGACTCATGTCCCAGAGCAAACTGCCTTCAGATCAGGGGCATAATTCTTCGACCCTGTTCCCAAAAACGGGCAGCACGCCCACGGCAAGACCGACATTATCAGAGCCTTGGCACTACCGATCGACCATCGATGCCGCCCGCAAGATGTATACCTCGGAAGGCATTGCCTCGTTCTATTCTGGTCTGACGCCAGCCTTGCTTGGTCTGTCGCATGTTGCTGTTCAGTTCCCAACCTACGAGTATCTCAAGACGAGATTCACGGGACAAGGCATGGGCGAGGCATCGGCCCACGGACAAAAGCCCCACTGGGTGGGCATATTGTCAGCGTCCATTCTTTCAAAAATGCTCGCAAGCAGCGCGACCTATCCTCACGAGGTGATCCGCACAAGATTGCAAACCCAACGGCGACCTGTGGCTGGTGAGCAATACCTCCAGGGCATGGGAATTGCAGGAGGATCAGAAATCAAGCCACAGTCCCCCAAGTATAAAGGTGTGGTCATGACCTTCCGAACAATCCTACACGAGGAAGGGTGGCGGGCATTCTACGCCGGCCTGGGAACGAACATGACCCGGGCTGTGCCGGCGGCGACGGTGACAATGCTCACATATGAGTTTGTCATGTCCCGCTTGAATGGGATGAGAGAGGATGGCAAGGCCCTCCTGTTACAAAGCGAAGCATCGCGTCCGTGAGAGTGCACATAGCGACGTGCCGCGAGGCTCCGAATTTCATACACAATTATTCAGCATTGGAGAAAGGCTGAGATACCCTTGGTCGGTGTAGGTATAGACGAACTTTTCAAACATGTTTACTTGGTTCACACACGGTCGCGGCATTCACATGTCCCTTTTGTTTTCAAGTATGATGCAAACCCCAAGAGTACAGCGCAAGATTGGGTTGCAGGCTAGGTCAGCTTCTTGCATGGTGATGTTGTATATGCATGGCGGATATCGACCTTGTTAAGTCGGAGGTATTATCTTATTCAGTATATAGCCGGTGAAGAGGTGCACATGATTTATCATTCCGAGATGCTCAGGCTCGCATGTGGATGGCGTCGTTGTATGGTGATTGACGGCTCGCGCGACCAGTACTACCTAGGCTAACGCTGACTTTTCTGTGAAATCATATTAGAACCGCGGCAACGAAGACGGAGAGCGACATGTCCATACCGCCTGAGATCTTGCTGATCTTATCGACGATCGGGTGTACCTGCATCGCGTGAGTTTGAAGGACCATGGGCATTCCCATCAGGCGTACGCACACGAAGAGAACACAGGCCATGCTGAAGGCCGCTGCAGGCGCCATGAACTTCTACATTCGTTTAGTGTGCGCTGGGAGGTTGGCTGCAAGTTCTCACTCTTGGATCCATTGCAATAGTGCAGTTGTGCGACAGCGAGACCAGATGCGCTCGAGTCCTCGAGCCAGATGTGATGGATGGCGAGTCGGAGTCGCATATAGCCCCACATAAACGATAATCAGCTGTTTGTCTCGGAACTTGGTGGCTTTCTTCACCACTTCATCACAACTGCTCCATCGAAGACCAGCCTCATTCCGAGGGTCAAACAATTGTTGATGGGACTTCAAAAGTAATGACACAGAGGCCTCTGAACCAGTGAAGTACGTACCGTCATTAAGATACTGGCCGTATCCGTACTGCCAGACGTGATGTTTCCGCCTAGCCTGGCCTAGCCTAGTGCCGGACGGCCCAAGCTCCTTCCTAATTCCCAGGGTCAAGAGTCTAGACCATCGCTGCTACGGTGAGGTATGGACATGCCAGTCGCGACTCGCGAACGCGCCCCTAGCTGAGCTTCTCAGTATCACCACGCGACGAATCCTGAATATACACACTGAGCTCTGAGTTATCGTGCTTCAAGCATCAACCTAACAACACAAGTCACGCGCAATGGTTGTTGAATTGAGGAAGCGCAAGGCGCACCAGCAGCCTGCCGTCGAGCAGCCTGCGCCAAAGAAGAAGGCTTCGTCGCAAAAGCTGAACAAGAACGCCAAGGCAGCGCCCGCGAAAGCAAAGAAGGCTGCCGTCGATGCGGACAAGGCCGCAGCTGAGCAGCCTGACAAATCAACCAACGGTACTACTGACAAGGTGGAAGATGTGAAGGTCAAGGACGCCGCCCCTGCGCAACCCAAGACGTACAGCGAGGGGGACGTCGTGGGTGACTTGGAGACCTTTGGCGGTGAGGTGCAGACACACGAGGGCGAGACGACAACGTTGAAGGACCTTCTCGACGCGAGCGAAAAGGCAGTGGTGCTGTTCACCTATCCGAAAGCGTCAACCCCAGGCTGTGAGTCCTATCAGGTCACTCCCTTGACATTACGCGACGCTAATACCGAGGCTAGGCACCACGCAGGTCTGCCTATTCCGTGATGCACACGATGAGATCAAAGCTCCTGGACTGTCCGTCTACGGCCTCAGCGCAGACTCGCCCAAGGCCAACACCACTTTCCACACCAAGAAGGAGCTGACATACCCCCTGCTTTGCGATCAGAAGCGCACTCTGATCAAGGCGATCGGACTGGCTAAAGTCCCCAGTGGTACCACACGAGGCGTCTTTGTCATCGACAAGCAGGGCAAGATCTTATTGTCCAGGTCGGGAGGGCCAGCTGCGACAGTGGACGCTGTGAAAGCCTTGCTCGAGACCATATAGGCTGCATTGACGGAGTCGAGCTGGCAATGCCCTCCGAAAAGAGGCATGGCATAGGGCGGTCACGCTTACAGACTAAGCTGCGCCGAGAAGTTCAAGGAACGAGCAGTCATACATGTGCCACTTCTGTATTTGTTCGCAGACGAAGACAATCAGAGGTATGAAACAAAAGCATGTACTCGCTACCAGATATCATCGATGGCACTACACTACAGTCTTCCACAGCATCACGATCAGAGCCGCTTGGTGAATAATGTGTTCTTGCTCACTTCTACCAAGTCTATCTTTGCAGGAAAGCATCCCAAACTCCATCTATGCCCGCCGAATCTCGCTTATGCAACCTTGCTGAGAGATGCCGTCGCAATGGCCGAGTGAATTTCCTGCTCAGCACCGTCGGGCAATGGCAGCAGCGGCGAGCGGACCGTCGCGTGCTCCAGGATACCCCTCGCAACGAGTGCGTGCTTCAGCGCCACAGTACCCTCCATGTGAGATCCACGGTGGTACACGGCCTTGGTCACAGGCAAGAGTTGGTCGTGCAACTCACGCGCCCGCTTGTAATCCTTGGCCTTGCCCGCGAGGATCATCTCGTACAGAGCCTCGGGGGCGATGTTGCCGTAGCCGACCAGCATGCCGTCCACGTCAAAGACAGTGTGCAAGAGGTACTCGTCGTGGCAGGTGAGGACAGGCACGTTGGGACGCTCGCGACGGAAGACGGGGATCTCCGTGTCCCAGCGACGCATGTTTCGGACGCCATTCTTCATGGCGATGACACCCGGAAGGGCAGCAATGTCGAGGAGAGTCTGCAGGTTGTAGTTGGCCTTGGTGTTGTCCGGGTACTGGAAGAGGATGAGAGGCAGCTGCGACACCTCGTAGACGACCTTGTAGCGGTCCTGGGGAGCACCGGGCTGGTAGCCAAAGCGGAGCCAGCCGTGCGAAGGGTACAGGAGGCCAGCCTGGGCACCCGCCTCCTTGGCCCGCTTCGCCTCGAGAGCAGCCACTTCGGTACCTTCGCCGGTGATGCCGGCAATGATGGGGACCTTATTGTCGACAGACTTGACAAAGGCCTTGATGACGGCCACCTGCTCGTCAGGCGTCAAGAACGTCCCCTCGCCAGCGTGTCCGAGCACAACGAGACCCTTGATACCCTTTTGCTGACCAAGCCACGAGCCGAGGCGCTGGATAGCGGGATAGTCGACCTGGCCATCCTTGGTAAAAGGCGTGACAGGGGCAGGAACAAGACCCTTAAGATCGATAGTCATGGTGAATTTGATTGGAGGAGAGTCTTGAGGCTGTTCAAGGTCGAGAATGCAGAGTTCAAGGTTTGTCTCTTTGTTATTGTTGAGTTATTGATGGTGCTCAGAATTGTCGAGACTTAGATGGAGGACTCTCTTATATGCTTGAGAGTTCGCTCTTTCGCTCTTTCACGCTTCATATTTGTAGCCACTTTGTGAGCCTCTTGCCGATAATTCATCGGCTTCGCAAGCAGAACACCGGGTTTCGCATCGCGAACCTCAGGAAGCGATCACGACTCCCCGATGACACCTCCGCCACAGGACACAGAGGGAAATGTGTGGCATCGGGAATGCCAATGCTAAAAGGCAGGGGGTTACCGACAACTCCGCTCTTGGATATCGGGTACCCAACGTGCTTCTCCGACAAGGTGGGCGTCGGATGACCTTAGCTCGCGCCACAGAGTTCCCGAAGGACGGAGACTAGACTCGCTAGTGGCCCAATCTGGTCCACAGGCGCGCATTCGTTTGCAAGTTATTGAGTCGAGATTCACCAGGTCATTGGGGGGAACTGACGATGTGGTGCTCTCGTCCACCCAAAAGCGGAAACCTAGCCCCATGGAAACACGGCACGGTCGGATAGGCCTCGGTGACCGCTGTGGCACTGACATGCATTCTCCCATGATTCATCCCTGGGGAAGACATGGAGCCTGTTGGGCCATTTCTTCTTCCCCATGGGATAAATCTGGGGTTGACACCGACACACCTTGGGTTACGAGGAGGTATTAATACCAAGGGTGAGTCTGGCTTTTTTGCAGTTTGGCAAACCAGACCACCAGTCCCTTCTTGGATCCGGCTTTCAACTACTACCCTTCTTGAGAAAACCCGTGCATAATTTGGAGACATGGCTGTCCAGCGCAACTCCTTGGAGTCTCGCGATCTTGAGCAGGTCCCCCCTGAGAAGGACCAGACTGTTCACGCAGAATGGTCCCGAGGAGGGATCTCGCAGGACGACATTGACTTTGTGGCCAACTTTCCCGATGATCGCAAGAAAAAGATCTTGCGAAAGATCGACGTGAGTCAAAGCACACAGGCTGTGAAGGTTACAGGAACTAACATTATCAGTTGCGCCTTGTTCCAATGCTCGTCTTGCTGTACCTTGTTGCTTATCTCGACAAGACCAACATTGGTGGGATCACATGCTCTGCTCCAGTGTACAATGGCTGACAAACGTAGGCAATGCAAAGATTGAGGGCATGACGGGGGACTTGGGTCTGAAGGGAATTGACTACAATGTGGTTGTTGCCGTCTTTTTCATCCCCTTCATCCTCTGCGGTAAGCTCATCATACTGGCGAGCAGGCATCAGCATCTGACACTCGACAGAGGTCCCTTCCAACATGGTTCTGCATGTCGTCAAGCGCCCTTCCTGGTACATTGCAGCCCTCGTCTTGTGCTGGGGAATCGTCATGACCTTGACCGGCATTGTCCAGAGTTATGCCGGCTTGATCGTCATTCGTCTTCTTTTGGGTGTCTTTGAGTACGTTTCACATCGGCCATTTCACTTCAAGATGTCACGACTAACTCTTCCGCAGAGCTGGATTTCTTCCTGGAGCAATCCTCATCATCTCCAACTGGTATCTTCCTGGCGAGACGCAGACCAGGATCGCAATCTTGTACACCTCAGCCGCCACAGGAGGCGCCTTCTCCGGGCTCCTGGCTTATGCTATCGCCAAGATGGACGGCGTCGCAGGCCTGCATGGCTGGCGGTGGATTTTTATCCTTGAAGGAATCATGACCGTCTTTGTCGCGTTCATGTGCTTCTTCCTCCTCTGCGACTCGCCTGCTCTATCTGGAAGCTGGCTCGACGCGGACGAGATTCGCTACCTCGAGCTTCGACAGGTCACCCGTCGCGCCACGAACGCTCGCGAGTTCAAGGAGAGCAACAAACACTTTGACAAGGCCATTTTCAGGGACATATTCTGCGACTACAAGATCTATCTCTTGATCTTTGCCAACTGGTCCAACGCGGTGCCCAACTACGCCATGAAGTTCACGATGCCAACCATCTTGACCTCCATGGGCTACACATCGGCCCACGCGCAACTGATGACAATCCCGCCCTACGCCATTGGCGCCATCTCTGCGTATTCATTCGCCATCTTTGCGGACAAGTATACATGGAGATACCCATTTATTATCGTACCGCAGTGCTGCATTATTACAGCCTTCTGCATCCTTTTCGCCAAGGGCGGATCGATCGCGGACAATGTTGGCGTGTGCTATTTCGCAGTCTGCCTAGCCTGCTTCGGGTAAGCCATGCTAATTACACTACTGTCAGGAATTTGTCAAGCTAACGTCTTCGCAGCATGTATCCCGTGCTTCCGGGCGTCAACGCGTGGAACGTGGCCAACACACCCGACCCGGCCAAACGCTCCGTCAACATCGGTGTGCTCATCTGCATAGGCAACGTTGGTGGACTCATTGGCTCCTACATTTACCTCGACCGCGAGAAGCCCAGGTATCCGACAGGGTACGGTACCTCTCTCGGATTTGCGGTTGCTGGGATTGCAGCGGCCACCATCCTGGAGCTGTTGCTGAAGAGGGGCAACAAGCAGAAGGCGATGATGACCGAAGAGGAGGTCAGACAGAAGTATACGGATGAAGAGCTCGAGAGGATGGGAGAAAAGAGCCCACTGTTCAAGTATGCGTTGTAGGGCCTAGATGTCTGGTTGGATATGTCGGGGTCAGCAAGTCTCTCGGCACTTGGGTCAGGGTTGGAAGTCGGTCTCTCAGATCAGCTCTAGATGGCGAATTCACATTTTTGAAGCAAGCAAAGAACAAGTAACCAATGACTTTCACTGAATTGATATCATCTCTTGGGTATGATGTTGCCACTTTGCTCCCACGAAGCATGAGCGTGCCGGGGATTTTGGAAGCTGGAACATAGAGACTAGAGCGTCAAGAGCTGAAGCCACGCCATTTGGCTTGGAATAGGTGAATACAGATGTCTCCCCGGAAACTTCTGTGTGATTCGTAGCTTGATGATTTTTTGGGTGCTACTGACGAGCAGCAAACTCATTGTTGGATTGGGTGGTCGACAGCCGGGAACATGAATGATAAATGGATGGGGATTAAGAGCACATGTCAACGAGGCACACACCGTATACGTTGGAAAGTTGTGTCGAAGATTCAATATAACGGTAATGAATGAACATGTAGAATTCTTGAGCCTTCCAGGTTGCAATGACTCTAGGCCTTTGTCGTCTGTCCATTCCCGACACGTGACCCACTGACTCCTCATCGGCAACTGCGTGTTTCCGATGACGCTCGTCGGGTCTGTCGTCGGCCACAATGAACTCTTCCCCATCACCTTCACCATCAGGGATGTGTCGCGCCGTGCATACTATACGATCCATCTAGATTGAAGGCCTATGCATGGTTCCATGTGCACATGCGCCACCTGTAGTCCCGATGCCCGAGCGTCAGACTGACCCAACACTCAGCACCCCGACAGACACATCACCATCGACCAATACAACCATCTCACAAAGTGGTCCGAGCAGGGTTTCCGATGCAGAACCGTCGGAGAAGGCGCACAGTAAGGCGCCTGTCAGGGTAGCTCGGGCCTGCGACAGATGTAAGGCACGGCGGCAGAAATGCGACGATTGGAACCCATGCAAGAGATGCATCAACGCCTGTGTGCCATGCCTCTACGAAACTGCCTATCTCCGGGGCCGAGCACCTCCATTACCCCCTAAGCGGCCTGCAGACTCGCTCGTGGACCCGGAACACTCAAAGTATGTGCCTTTCAGACATTCGGGAACCATAGGACTTCCGACGGCCTCACAGGGCCTTCTCTGTCATGCCCGTGGAAGCATCACTAATGTGACGACAATAGATTCCCAAGAAGAGCTCCAGCTACCTTTGTAAGCACTGAAGCCCGGGATGGCCGTCAAAGTGGCGTTTGGGCTTCATCTGAAGCCCACGACGAGACTATCCCTCCGTCGCGAGCCTCACCTGAGCTGGAGATCGAAGGCCAGTTCCATGATCCAACCTCGAATCTCAACTTCTTGCACCGGGCATGGAAACGATTGTCGAACCGGCACATTGACAACGTCACATCAGAGGAAGGCAAGGCTGTGATCTCCCGTCAGCCCCTTATGTCCGCCGGGGACAGGCCTTTCGACGTCTTGTCTACATCCCACGGACACATTTTCCCGGACCGTGAAACTGCACTGAGGCTGTTCGACTTTTACTTTGAGCAGTGTGTTGTGACGTACCGATGCCTCAACCGCCAATACTGCTCAATGTGGTTGAACACAGTTATAGAGAACCAGGAAAGCCAACTACCCATCTCAAATGGAATCGGTCACGCGAAGGCTGCTCTGGTGACAACGATCATGGCCATAGCAACTCTTCGTCAGGAGAAGCTGTCACAAACTGCAGTCAGCATCAACCTGGATGGGTCGATCCATGGGAGCGATTACCACTTCTGCGCTGCCTCTGCTCTGACCAACGCCGAGACTGGTCTACCGAGACTGGAATCCGTACAGGCGCGTGTCCTCCAAGTTCTGTACCTTTTACAAACCGGTAGAATGAACCAAGCCTGGTACGTGTTCGGGGGGACCGTGCCTATCGTATCGGCGCTGGGTCTGCATAGGAAAAGCCGCGCCGCCAGCAACAGGAGTACCCCGGGGAATTACATCATTTCTCAATGTCGAAAACGCACCTTTTGGACCGTCTATATCATCGACAAGTACCTCGCGGTTGTCTTTGGCCGGCCTCGCCTCTATCACGACGATGACATCGACCAAGAATTTCCGGATCGGGTGAACGACGAGGACATGTCGCCTCAAGGGCCACTGAACAGCGAGCCAACAATGGACTGTCACATTGACTCGCTCGTCTTTCACGCCAAGATCGCCAAAATTATTGACAACATCTCTCGCGAGGTCTACTCTCTTCATCGCCTGCCTAAGCCGGCGCGTCTCGCGTCAGCCCGGGCATTCGGCCAAAAGCTGTATGCCTGGCGCGAGGAACTGCCACCTCATCTTGGAACAATACGGCCCCTCAGTCTGATACCCTCGTTCAGACGACAGGCCATGGCTCTGAAACTGGCATATGCTCATGCGTTGATGCATGCCAATCGGCCCTTTCTCATGGGGGTCGATCGCACAGAAGAGGAGGAGGAAAGCACTACAGTCTGCATCAACGCAGCAAAGCTCGCACTGGAGACTGTCGACAGCATCGTAGGCGACACGATCATGTTCCACGCCTTTTGGTGGACGCCGTACGTGACCTTTTGCGCCTTGGCTGTTGTCTACGTCTGGGAAATCCAAAAGGGAGCAAGCAATGCCGACAACCCATCGCTGTTTGCGCTGGCTGAGAGATGTCAGGGTCACCTGGCTGCTTCGACAGTCACAGACTCGCCAAGCCAGAGATACAGTGTCATACTCGAAGAGCTTCGTCAAGAAGCCCGTCAAGGGCTGGCACACCAACACCAGCTGACGGACAACGCAAGCATGGCCGCCATGGCGCAGAGCGAGCCAAACCAACTACAAATGGACTTTGGGATCTTTCCCTCGGGTCCGATTCCAGAGGCAAATCCATTGGGCTTGCCCCTGAACGAGTGGCAAGCAACCGATTGGCTGGATCTAGACTCATCTGTATGTATTGCAGACACTCACCATGCCGGGCTTGTATCATTGCGCTAACAGATGTGATGCAGGCTTTTGGTCCGTTCTTGGAGATGGATGGTTCACCGATCATGTGGATGGGCGATGTTGGCCAGCAGTAGCTGTCCGCACTCCAGCCCTGCCATTCCACGATGGTTTCCAGCAGAGCCTGCCACATGCATATACTGTAATTGAAGCTGTCAAAATATTTCATTATGCACAATCCCCGTACCTATGAGCATATGACTCGTATCACAGTATCATCCCCGCCCTCGCGTGTCCCAAGTCCAAAATGCAAGATGCCTGCCCCTCTGCGCCATAACCACCATAACCCCGCTACACCATAGAATCATGCGCTCATTGAGGCTTGCCCCGGATGGGGAGATCCTTTGTGACCTCTGCTGAGGCAGTCGACATGCCACCAGCAGCAGATGCTTCGTCCACGGCCTTGCCTTCACTTGCCGTCGCATCAGCACCTTCGGACACTACCTTTTGGCCCGCGACAGCCTCCGATACCTTGTTCACCGCAGCCTTGGCCGCTTCGGCCGCCTTGGCAGCCTTCTTGGCCTTCTTCCTCTCCTTCTCCCTCTCCTTGTCCTCTTGCTTCTTCTTCTTAGCGGCGGCTTCAGCCGCACGCGACTCCGCGCTTCCACCGAACTGCTCCTTCCACTCGGCTAGCTTCTTGTCTTCGATCCTGGAGAAAAGATATGCAGCCTTGTTGAGCTTGTGACCGGGCTTGAGTGTATTGGGCGTCCACGTGTCAGGGATGGATCCCAGCGTGGTGTTGAGCTGCTCGCAGATTGAGACGGCGGTGCTGGGCATGTAAGGAGAGCAGATCGAGGCCAGGAGCTTGCAGAGGTTGAGCGCAAGACCAATGACGAGGTATGTGCGCTGGGGTTGCTCCGTCAGACAAGTGTTGTCGAGGCGGTACTGCAGCAAATTGTTGCCCTCGCTGCTAATCTCCAGGACTTTCCTGGCGCCCTCACGGAGATGGACGCCCTCCATGATATCATTGTACTCGCCCAGCAGCTTGTTGACATTGGCGATCCACGCGCTGAAGTCAAAGGTCTCGTCCTTGTGCTCGAGTGAGTATTCAGGAATTACACCGTCAAGCTTGGCATTGACAAACTTGACGACACGGTTGACAAAGTTGCCAAAATTGGCCAGCAGCTCATTGTTGTTGGCCTGTGCAAACGCGTTCCACTCAAATTGAGTATCGCTCGTCTCAGGGCGGTTGGAGAGGAGGTAGTATCGCCAAACGGAGGGTGAGATACCAATTTCTTCGGCCTGGTTGCCGAAAACACCGATTCCGCGGGATTTCGAAAACTTGCCGTTCTCATAGTTGAGGTACTCCGTGGTCGAGAGCCTGTGCAGCATAGTCCAGCCTTGACGGGTGCCAATCTGGGATGCGGGGAAGATAACTGGACTGTTAGCATATTACTCTTAGCTGCTGATGTAACAACTCACTGGAATGGAATTGGGTGTTGTCCTTGCCCAAGAACTGATATAGCTTGACCTCCTCGGGGTTCTTCCACCACTTCTCCCAGTCGTCCGTGTACGAGGCTGTGATCGAAGGGTATCCAATACAGGCGTCAAACCACACGTAGAAAACCTTGTTCTCAAAGCCGTCCAGAGGCACCGGGACACCCCACTTCAGATCACGAGTGATACTGCGTCCTTCGAGCCCCCTCTTCAGCCAGGCCTTGGTGATGGCGACACCATTGGTCGACCACTTTTCGTGCGTTTTCTCGAACCATGCCTCGACCTCGGGCTGCAGCTTGTCCAGCGACAAGAAGAGATGCTTCGTATCGCGCGGGACTGGGGTGGCATTGTCCACCTTGCAACGAGGGTTGATCAGCTCAAAGGGATCCAACAGCGAACCGCACTTGTCGCACTGATCACCACGTGCATCGTCGTACTGACACTTGGGACAAGTTCCCTCTACAAAGCGGTCCGCCAGAAAGGCCTCGTGCTTCTCGCAGTATGGCTGCTTCGTGGTGCGCTCCTCCAGGAACCCATTGCTGTGCAGCTTCCAGAAGATGTCCTGCACAATCTCTGTCTGTTTCGGGGTCGAGGTCCTGCCAAAGTGGTCGAAGCCGATCTCGAACCAGTCGTAGACGGCCTTGTGTTTCGCGTGGAATTCATCGCAGAGCTCCTTGGGCGTCTGTCCCGTCTCGAGGGCCTTGGTCTCGGTCGCAGTGCCGTACTCATCTGTGCCGCAGATGTACAGCGTCGGGCGGTCGCGAAGCTTGCTGAAGCGCGCATAGACGTCGGCGCTCAGAACACTGCCTACAACGTTGCCCAAATGGGGGACATTGTTGACATAGGGCAAGGCGCTCGTCACGAGGATGTTGTTTTTGCCCTTTTGGGGGAGGATTGGGTTTTCGACGCCCATGGCGATGCGATGGTGCGGGTGAAGAAACAGGTTCACTTGGTCTTCTTCTCTTGGGGGTTTAGCGCAGAAATAACCTTGTCTATGCGACCGCTCGCTGTGAGAGATGCAACTCTAGACCGGAGAACAAACAAAGCGACAGAATCAATGACCAAGGCTGTTGTTTGAGTCACAAGGGATGCGCAGTCGGAGCTCTCGCTTTGGAGTCGAGGGGCACTAGTAAGTTGAGGAATGCCCCGCCATCGCCCGCTCTAGAATTGTCAGGCGGTCAATTTCTGCCACAGTCCTCACTCACTCGCGCACTCACTCACTTGACTCAGTAGTCGGTACTTTCAATTACATACCTCCAGTCCCGTCCATTGCCTCTTTCTCATCACCGACATGGACGACGACCTTTTTGACGACGTGTTGCATGTCGAAAGCCGATTTCACCAGGAAGGCTACCAAGAGGGTTTGCGCGACGGCGCAAAGCATGGCCTAGCTGAGGGCCGCGCATTCGGGTTGCAAAAGGGCTTTGAAAGGTGGTTGGAGAGCGGGAAGCTGGCAGGGAAATCTATCGTATGGGCCAACCGCCTGCCAACCGCGACGCAAAGCTCGGAGGCGGACTCATCAGGGCCCAAGCTTCCGTCGCTGCCGAACAATGCCCGGCTTGACAAGAATATTCACACACTATACTCCCTGGTGGACCCAAAGACCCTGTCGATAGACAACTCAGACGCAGCGGTCCAAGACTTTGATGAGCGGCTAAAGAAAGCGCAAGGAAAGGAACGTATTGTCAGTCGCGTCGTTCATGGCCCGACGAAGGACGGACAAAGGGCCGGCTCCGTCACTTGATAACTCAGTCACGATTGTGTATAAAACAAAAGGGATCGATTGCCGATAAGCTCTATGCCTCCGTTGTCTGCTTATGTACATATTCAACGCCGCCTTACTTGAAGATGCGGCAGGGGTAACTAGGTAGCGTTAGCCATCGTTCACGTCGTTTCCACACATTGGACTTACCCATCGGGATACGACCTCTCTGTAAGCTCGTATTTGTACACTCCCCACTGCGTCCCGTTCAAGCTCGTGCCGCTCGGTGTGGGTGGCAGTCCGCCAACAAACATATCCTTGGCCATGTCGCCCGGCGACTTCTTCGCGTACGCCGCCAGACCAGTCTGCCCTTGCTCCTTCACATCGACAAGCTGCTTCTGGCCCGCCTCGCCGATGAGCTCAACCTTGGGTTGAGCGGCGCTGCCAACACTCAGCAGGCCGACGACATCACCCTGGCTCACGACGCTGAGAGCAGGATAGGAGCGGCGGTTGTCGCGTTTCCAGTACGGGTTGTCGGCGATGTCGCCAGCCGGCACGGTAACGGGATCATCGTAGGCGATGGGATCGTTCGAGCCAGGCGGAGGGTTTCGGTAGGTTGGGTTGAGGGGGACACCATTGGACCGGTTGGGGTCAATGGCAAAGAGACGGCGGAAGGCTTCCCACAGACCGGAGGACTGGACCGTGTGTTTCTGCCATGTTGTTAGCCGGATGTTTTGAGCATGCCACTGAGCGTGACACGGGCGAGAAGTTGGCGGATGAGCTGACCTTGGTGATGGAGACCAGGCTCCCGGCGGCCTTGTTGGCCATTGGCGTCGTCATTTTGACTGTATGCGCGATGGAGGCTGGTTCCGTAGGACGTGCTTCAAGTTGAGGTCGAATTGGCACAGATGATGCTACTCGGCGACGGTGGTTTAGCCGGGGTTTGACCGGGCTCATGGGTGTCTGCGGGACCAATCACAACACCTCCATTTGCCATATGATTGGATCAATGCCGCTTCATCTTTCGTTGACTCGGGGCGAGTTGCAAATTCGTGACTACAATCAAAAATCTACCGGACTCTGACTTGGAATTCTCATGAGCAGAGCACGATGGCGCGGGCTGCACCATTTGCCCCGTGATGTTCAGGCACGATTTTGTTTGGGCGTGGGGGCCTAGCGTCCTCTGTTCCAGCTGCGAGGGACATAAGCCGAATTGTCAGACTGCACCTGAGATCAATAAAGCCATTTCAGGCCTGTATTCGAGGCTGTTAATTTGTGGTGTTCTTGTAAGACGCATTGGGCCAGTTTGAGCGCACTTATACTACGTACGTAGACGCGATATGATTACTCATCTGCGTAGCAGGCTAGCAACACCGAGCTTTGCCCCTCCATCCATCCAGCACCGCGGGACCGGGGTCGATCTCAAAGCTTCAATTGAGAACCAACCGCAGAGTCGCCAGTTCCTACCACTCCTCGAGAGCGCGACTGCCTTTCTGAAATCGACCTCCCCCAGTCTCACAACCGACCCGTCACCATGGATATCCGCCTCCTCACCAACGCCGACCTCCCGCTCATCCAGCACGCCAATCTCGAAAACCTGCCGGAAAACTACTTTCTCAAATACTACCTTTACCACTCCCTCTCGTGGCCTCAGCTCTCCTTTGTCGCCGTCGACGTATCGCGTCCGAAGAAGGGCCCGTATGACTACCCCAAGATTGTCGGCTATGTACTGGCCAAGATGGAGGAGGAGCCCAGCGATGGAGTGCCGCACGGTCACATTACGAGTCTCAGTGTGATGAGGACACATCGCAAGCTAGGCATCGCCGAGAAGCTCATGCGTCAGAGTCGTCAGTTGCGCCCTGGGCCTTTCCGCCTACAAAAAGCGTAGTGAGACCATACTAACTGGCAGGCAGAGCTGGCCATGGTAGAGACATATCAAGCGAAATATGTCTCTCTTCACGTCCGTGTTTCCAACGTGGCTGCACGGCATCTCTACGAGAACACGCTGGGCTTCACAAACGAGAAGGTCGAGTCGAAATACTACGCCGACAAGGAGGACGCCTTCTCCATGCGCCTGAACCTGGACGAGATTAAGAAGCAGATCGAGGCGGGCGAAAAGAACGGCGACGCGGAGGAGGACAAGGAGCACGAGGACGAGGGCGATGCGGTCGGCGAGGTTGGCAAAGATCCGGGGCAAACTGCCGAGGGGAAGCAGATCAAAATAGCACTGGGGAAACGGCCGGCTCTCGGCGTAGGAGACCTGGTGGAGAAAGACGACAGCAAATAAGGGAGACATGCATTTCGGGCAAATGGCATAGACAAAAGGCATAGACCCAGGAGCTGGTCACGGATAGGTTGGCTCGGTCGAGCGATGGGCCTGATCATGGCGACGGAAGATTATATACACTGGCGAGAATCTCCCAATATGAACACACAAAAGGTCCCATGCGATCCAAACCCCCACCGGGGTTGCGTACCGCGCCTCAGGGCTGCGAAGCCGGCAACGTCCCCGTTTGCTGTCCCGCATGAGCTGGGGGCGGCGTTCCTGGGGGCGGCCCTGAAGGTGGCATATAGTAACCACCCATACCTCCCGGCGAGGGCGGCCCGCCCTGGTGGCCGTTCGGAGGAGGCGGCGCGCCGTACCCTGGACTCGGCGTATCGAGTCCCACGGACGGCCCAAATCTGCCATGCCCATGCATTTCAGGAGGCCGATACCCCGTTGGTGGTGGCCCATGACCCCTTCCACCCGGCCTCGCAGACTCATAACCTCTGCCTCCTGGACCTTGTGGACCGTATCCGGCACCAGGATATCCAGAGTGCGCATTCCCTCTCCCGTACGCTGAGCTCGGAGGGACCGTGGGCCCAATGGGTCGTCCGCCGTACTCCATGCCTTGCTGGTCCATCTTGAACTTTCCAATCTTGAGACCACCGGCGTTGAGTGAGAATTTGCTGCCGACACGAATGCCCTGGGGGTCGAAAGAAACGTCCCTCTCGGAGGCTTTTGACTTGAGCATCCCCATGATGCGGTCCCTGGAGGACTGGGGAAGACGGTACCCGGAGCTACTCCCGACGCTGGGCGCATGATGAAGCGAGCCTGTGGCCGCAGGGTTAGGTCCAGCGGAGCTTGGACCGGGGCTGGGCCCAGCGTGGTTTGAAGCCATGGTCGGCATATCAGAAAACCCAGAGTCTGCGTGCATCCCCCCTTCCTCGTCTAGCACGATGTTCACGCCTCTTGGTCCAAAGAAACCATCATTCCATTCGCTAATCACCCTTTCGACAGCGGTCTTTCGCTCCGGCGACAGTCTTTTCGCGTCTGGGACGACCGCGTCATCCGGTATGAGGAAGCCAATGAAGGTAGTCCAATCTTGCAAGGAAACATCGTGGCTGGGTGCCCAATTCCGCGGGTAAGGGATGTCAGCCCTGATGGTGTTTGGTCGGATTTGCAGAGGATGGCGAAGCGGTTGAGGAGATGTTGAAGTGCGCGATGCGAAGTACTGCGCCGAGGACTGTGGGGATTGCGACGCTTGCGGCGTAGGCTGATGGGAGGGACCGGTAGCTGGAGGCTGTCGATGCTGCTCGGGAAGCTGGTATCCGGGCGCTTGTTGCGGCTGAGGGTACGACGGCGGGAGATTCGTGGACTGTACATTGGATACTGGGGAGGATGGCAGAGGGATATCGTTCGAGTGGAGAGGAGCGCTTGATTCGACGTATGGTGGGGGTGGTTCGTCAGACCCTGGAGGGGGTGGGTTTCGGGAGCCGCTCATGTCTTCCTATCTGTGCCCAGGAAGCAGTGCAAATGAGATCTATTGTATGTGGCGGCGCAGCGAGTCAATGTTGGGCGATGAGTGTCAAGGGCCTCGAGATGTGTGAGAATGAGGTGTTGTTGAGGCTATGCACATGACATCACCCGGCTACCGTTGGTTGGAGGGGCGCCAAGGCCAAGCCTCCCGCGTCGCTGGAATCCCATCCGCTGTCCTCCGCATCCATATGGCTTCTTGATATCTTCTCCCTACCGGATTTGGATGCAGCCACCATGATTTGGATTTTGTGGTCTTTGTTTCTTTTTTTTCTTTCCCTTTTTATTTTATTTTATGTGAAGCATCAAGCATCTTGGGGCGCCTTGAGATGCAAATTCACATCTTCCTCGGCGTAATGGTCGCTGATCAATCCTGATAGATGCTCCCAAGTGTGTGTGCCCCTGAATGGATGACTGGTTAGCCCTGAAATGCGCTTTTATCGATTCAAAATGACTCACAGGTTTGTAATGTACGTGTCAATCAGGTTGGCAGGCAAGAAGGCAGTCAAACCTGCCTTGACCTCCACGGCGTGCACAAGGCTCCCATCCGAGAAATCCACATGCTGCATGGGATCGGCGAATTCAACGGCCGTCTCCTGGGTGTAAGGACACTCTGGACTGAGCTTGTAGACACCAGCCAGTACGACGATCGGGACGCGATGGTGCTTGGCCGCTGCTGCGACGATTGTCGAAAAGTTCTCACTGACCACTCCGCCATTGGCAGTGATGGCACTCGCACCTATGATCATCTTGTTGACGCGAGACATGTACGACATGCCGCCGCCAGTTGTCATCACAATTGACTGTACACCCTGACTCTTGAGCTTATCTCGGAGCGCTCTGTAGTTGTCATGCCCAGTGGCACCCCGTGGCTGCGGCATGCAGTGGATCAACAAGGTAAACTTGCGCTTCTGCGCCGCCCTGAGGATAAAACGCTGCACAGTGGGAGAGGGGTGGTAAACCAGAATGTGGTCGCCGGGGCGAATCTGCACCTCGGCGTGCGCGGCAATCTGGTCATCCACCTGGCCCATCTCGTCAATGATTTCCTGTATTCCGTTGATGACCTCCGACCGTAATGCGTGCACCTGGCTGTTGGTCGTCCTGTGCAATGGCGTCGACGTGCCAGAGTTACCAAACGGAGAGATCGTGCCTTCATTGTCTGCCACATCCTTGGCCGACAGGAGCATCGACAGACTGCGTGGTATGTTGGCTGAACTCGCGGCGCCCACAGGCCCAGGTCTTCGAGGGGCCTCGGTCGGCGCTGAAGAATGAAAGCTTTGGCTCATTTCGCCAATTGGGGTCATCTGTCCCTCGCTGGGAGTCTCGCTTGGCGCTCCGTCGTTTCTATCCTCGGTGGCCTCATCGCGAATGAGCCCGAGCACGCGCCGCACAATGTTGCCGATGACAAGCTCGTTGGGGCGGGCGCGCATGAGCTTGCTACCGGCCCGGGACACATTCGCGAGAAGGGTGTCGGCGTCGGTCCATTTCGACTTTGCGACTACTTGGCGGAGGCAGTTTGCGGTGGCGAGGGCACAGTCTTCGGGTCCTGAGATCTGGCGACGCTTCAGGAGGCTGTGATTGTTAGAAGAGCTCTATACAGCAAATGACGTTGGTCCTCATACTCAACGAGGGACTGTATGGTGAGGTCGAGATGCGCGTGCCCTTTGAGTGACCGCAGATAGGAGTCGAGGGTGGGCGCAAAGCCCGGTACGGCGGAGGGCATCTGCGCCTGTGGTTTTGATGGTAATCGCTGCGTATGTCGATGTTGTCTATAGTTTGCTGGTCCGACGAAGAAGCTACGATCGGCGTGCAATATGGACGAGTCCGATACTTTCTCTCAAGTCAATGGACAAGCTGTGTGCTCTGTAAATGTGGTTCGGCTTGTGTGGTGTTGGGATATGGAGCGTGTGTGATCCGCTGGTGAGTCAGTCAAGCTGTTTTTCGTGCCTTCCCTAACCGTGGGCCGTTTTCGCAGGGTGGGGTGGCTTCCGCAGCGCACGCGGTACAGTAGTACATGCTGTCGTGAGACCCGACATTGAAGACGACACATGATTCTGGACTGATGACTAGCAATCAGGGTAGCAACGTTGGAATTAAAAGGAGAGAGAATTATCCGTGTGGAAAAGAAACAATATTTTCCAACCTTAGGAACTCTACATTAATGCCACGCCGTGAGATGTGTGATGCTGCGATAGGCCACCTTCAGTAGGCCGCCAACCCCACCAATTATGATGTAAATTATCGGGTTATCCAGCTTAGGGCCCAAGTAATGCATTATACCTTGGCGAGCAGCTTTCCTATCACCAACACGGAACTGCGTAGCAACTTCTTAAAAGGTACGACTTATCATCTGCCATGCGATTGAATCTAAAGGCTTGTCCTGTCTTTTAGTACCCTAACAGGAGCCAGCCCTGGTATAGGGCCCTTCTACCTTACCTAACTCTACATTGTCAACGACTCAACATCCTCGCTGTCCCGCGTTCAGTCCTCATTCATCCCCTTCGTATGCCGACCTCACTCACATCCATCGGGTCTACTGGAGGCCCTCGCCAATCCCTGAACTTCCGGGGTGGAAGCCTTAATTCAAACATGCGATCAATCTCGATCCCACTGCGCCCCTTCATCTCCGGGAGGCAGAAGAACCCCACAGCCACTCCAATTGTGCACAATCCGCAGTAAATGAACCCCGTGAAGGCTCCAAGGTCCGCAGCATCCACCTGATATAGATATGGCAACGATGCCGCCATGACGATGGAGCCCGCCTGCGCAGACACGTTCCCAATGCCCTGCGTCTTGGCTCGGAGGCGCAGAGATGGCGTTTCGCCCAGGATCGCATACCCAGCAGGCCAGCAACCCAGACCACAGACGATAATCGTCGCAACCATGAAGCCAGCAACAAAGTAGGGTGCAATGGTCGATTTGTCCCTGAAAAAGCCGCACACGCCAACACCGCCCCAGAACGCAGCAGCAACGCCCATCGTCCAGAATGTGGCCGGTCTGCGTCCGACTTTTGACAGCGTCCAGATACCAACCCCATTGCCCCCGATGCCCGCCACCACCCCGGCGATCATCATGAGCAGCGCGGTGCTGGAATCGAGCCCCACGGTCTCGAGGAAGGTGTTTGCATTCGAGAGGAGATCGAGCCCGAACAAAGCTGGGAAGACGTTGGCGAGGATGGTGATGAATGTCCGTCGAAGGTTGGTGTCCTTGAAGCAGGCGGCAAAGGTTGCGCCTCCTGTTGTGGCTCGCTCTTCTTCCAGCGTGTCGCGGTAGCCCTTCAATACCAGAGATGGGCTGATATTGGACGCAAAGAGCTTTGTTGCACTCCTAAAGGCTCGATCGGTCTTGCCCTTGCGCAGCAACCACGCAGGCGACTCATGCATCGTCAAGGAGATGATCAAGGGCGCGAGAGCCAGGACGCCTTGCGAGCCCAATGCACCCAGATAGCCACGCCGACTCGGGACCCCATTCGTGACATATGTCACCACGAATCCGATCAACTGGCCCACGAGAGTGAACGTCGGAAAGAGAGCCATGGCGGAGCCGCGCATGGATGTAGGCGCATTCTCAGATACGTACGTGAGGCAAGTCGTCTTGATCAGGCCGACTGCAAACCCTTGGATCGTAATGCCACCGGTAAACATGGCCCTCTTCGTCACAGCTGTGTCGCCCACGTGCGAAAAGAATATGACGACGACTGCCCCGGCAGAAACGATGCTGCCAGTGAAAAGCGTCCACTTGCGTCCGATACGATCGCCCAGCCATCCAGCAGCCACGGCGCCGCATGCTGTCCCTGCTGGCGGCAAGCCAAACCACATGGACAACCACATGGAGGGAATGATTTGCCGCCTTTCGAATGTCTCTCCGTAGTCTCGTTTGAACGCATCCACGCTGACGATGGCGCCCACAATGACGAGTTGGTAGCCCCAGCTGATGATGGCAAGAGTCATGACCAGGCACCAGCGAGCAACCTTCGGGTACAGCTTGATGGCTTTGCCCAGCGGGAGCCTCTGCTCGTGGTCTGCCTCATCCTGTGATGCACTTCCTTGGCAGCTTTTGGGGCGTGTGGGGAGATTGTACGCGTCGGAATGAATGGGTTGGATTCCCTCGGCTTCCCGAGTGTCGTTCAGGGGGGTGTAGTCGGATTGCGCCATCCTTGTCGTGTTGTCGCTCTAGTTTGCAATGGTCTTGCAAGCATTGAGATTGGTAAGGCCAGCGAAAGGGGTTTTGGTCACACTCCGGTCTCGTCCTTTATATACCCAGGCCGTTCCTCATACATCCCTTTAGGAGCAGGTTCGTTGCTCGACTTGGTGTCAGAGTGACCCGCATTGCTGACTTCACAACTGGAGGCAATGTCTCTTCAAACTCGTCCCCAACTGCCCAGCCAGGCTTAGCCCTACGTGGGAGATTTGCGCTGTCGGGGTGAAGACAACTGCCCCTTTGTGTTCTTGTTACTATAATCGTCGTGCAAGTCCGATATCAACGAATCAGAGCACGAAGCGCACTTCGCTGCCGGGAGCGGGGACCGGAGTTCTTCCACATGCCGTGATATACGTCCGAACGTTTGTTCCTTGGAGCAGAGTCGGGAACGTCTTGAAACATAAGTGTGAGATCTTACTCAAAAAGCTTATGCAAAGATGTCGTGGCGCGAGATCCGCGACTTGGGCCGCTGGACGGCAAGCATAGACTACATTGGATGCTTGTCCAGGTGCTTTCCCCCTTCGCCCGTGGAAGAACGCGAAGAAACCCGAGCCGATCTTGGATTGCAGGAGAACATGTTACGTTCACAGTGACTAAAAATACTGCCATCCAAGATGGGTATATCAACCGCGTAGTGCGAAGATCACTACGACATGGGATTCTGGCGTGCAACTATAGGACATCCACAACATCGAGTAAGGAGCATAGACCTATATGCTATCTAGGTTTTGAGTGTGAAGCAAATGCTCAAAGAGAGTTAACGGAAGGTCTCGACAATGCCCAGTTTCAACAAGCCTCTGGGTGACCATGTGCGGGCGAATCTAGACTACTCCGCTGCTGCAGCATCAAGCTATAATTAGTCCTTGCGGAAAGAGATGGCTCGTAAGCTGACTGCATGTAAGAAGGAGTACAAGTATGGCTACTAGTATCCTGCTGCCCCCTGTTGTTGATCCTTGACGACCATGGGCCGAAACGCGGCTTCTTGGCCGAACTTCGCCGCAGGTATCCCACGCACAAGACCATAGAGCTTTGGGCCAAGCATTCCCCGACAGACCTATCACTTGTCATCGGACTTTTGTAACTCAGATTGCGCTTTTGGTTGTGGCGATGCTCCGGGGAATGTTTCGTGGCTGGGTGGACGGAGCGACTTATAAGGATCCAATGACCTACATGTGTACGTCGTTTGCACATCAACAGCAAAGGCATGCCAATTAAACTCTTAACTTGTCCTTCTAAAATTGCATTTACTCTCTCTTTTAAGTGTCATGAGTTCTTCGTGGAAAGCAGAAAATGCGCCCATCTGCCACATTGTCACGCCTGTTGGCATGATGGGCTATGGCTTCGATACGGCTCCGACGGAGTATCACCTTGCTCACCTCGTCCCTACGGGAATACCGACAGCAATCATTCTTGATGCAGGATCGACAGACTCGGGTCCTCACAGGCTAGCATTGGGATCCACAGGATGTCCACGCGCGGCTTACGTTCGAGACCTGACCAAATTGCTAGATCTCGTTCACCGGTTCCGAGTGCCGTTGATATTCGCCTCGGCTGGAGGCGGTGGTACAGATGAGCATGTCAAAGCCATGGAGAACATTATCACAGGGATATGCTCGCGTGAGGGAAATGAGTACGTTTCAGTCCGCCGTAGTTGGCCCCGGAGTTAACGAGCATCCCACAGAGATTATAACTTCAAGACCATCTCGACATTCTCCAACATCGAGAAGAGCCTCGTCGGCCAGCGCCTACAAGATAAGCAAGTCACCGGTTGTGGGCCCTGTGTTCCTCCGCTCACAGTCACGGACATCGAAGAATCGACCAGTGTCGTTGCCCAGGTTGGCCCGGAAGTCTTCCTCGACGCAATGCAAGCCACCCCTGACTTCGACATCCTCATCGGTGGGCGAGCTTACGATCCAGCGCCCTATGTTGCCTACGCCCAGTTTGCATTGAAACTCCAACATCCTGGTCTAGCAGAACAAACATCCAAGCACAGACTGGGCGGTTTCACCCACATGGGCAAGATCATGGAATGCGGCGGCGCATGCTCACAGCCGAAATCACACGGCGCCATCGCAAGTGTCTTTGCAGACGGTGTGTTTGATGTTCGGCCCTTGGCATTCGAGTCCAGATGTACAGCGCAAACTGTCGCCGCCCATGCGCTGTATGAGAACACGCGGCCCGATGTCCTCAAAGGCCCTGGCGGTGTACTGGAGTTGCTAGGAGCAGCGTATGAGGAACTGCCCGATCAGAGAACTGTCAGAGTGCGCGGCAGCATTTTCAAGAGCTCGAGAGAGCAGGGTCTGCCATATTCGTTCAAGTTAGAAGCGGGCAAGCTCGTGGGCTACCGTTCACTCTTCATGGGCAGTATCAAAGACTGTGAGTGCGCAAGGGCCTTCTGCTATGTGGGAGAGTTACGCTGAAACGTGACAGATGGTCTTATTGAGCAGATTGACACTCTTCTCGCGGCTGTCAAAGCCTACGTCAAGCAACAACATATTCACTTGTCCGACAGTTGGAATCTCGACTTTCACGTCTACGGAAAGGGCCACACGAATGGACGTGGCGGCCCCGGGGAGCTGTTTATTGTGGCAGAAGCGCTGGCCCCGTCCCAAGAATTGGCCAGCAGCATCGCGTCAAAGGCGCGTGTGGGATTGATTGTGAGTGTTGCGGGTGGTCGGTCTGTTGGCAACATCCATGCGAGAGAGCTGACCGGGACAACAGCATGCACCATATCCTGGACAGAAAGCGACTTCAGGGAATGTCGGCTTCGGAATTGGCGGGTTAATGGAGATTGAGGCCGGTCCCTGCGCGGAATTCTCGATATATCATCTGCTTGAACTCAAGTTGGGAGAAGAACGCCTTGTACTGGACAATACCCCTGAGATCGAAGGGTCCTTGCAACTTCGCAGGACAGTCCAAACCTTCGGTTACGGAAGGCCTACAAACAATGATCTTGACTTCCAGAGGGGCATCGCGCGTCTTCGGGATACTCTGCCACAGCCCACGATCAGCAGCCAACCTCAGGCGACAGGCGAGGCATCTCGCACATGCCTCCCCACCAACTTGTCCGACCTCTGTGGGGTGTTTCGATCCAAAAACGCCGGACCTTTCGAAATCACCGTCGATGCCATATTTCTCACGCCCCAAATCTACGAGGCAGTCAAGAAGTCCAACATCCTCACACCTGATACGGTCGCTCGCGCATTGGGTGTGTCAAGAAAGGACATCATCTGGATGGGCTTCTACGACCCAGCCAAGGCTTTCAAAGTCACCATACCAAGAATTCGCTCGGGCATCAAAAAGGCCGCCGGAGGGTTCATGGAGAATGACGTCCACGGTTCCCAAGAGCATGTCGGCTTGGCGACACTGAAGCTACCGCAAGACCTCGAGGATCTCGTGTCTTTGGATTCAGCAGCATCAAAGGCCGTGGCGAAGACTGCTTGCGAGTGGACGACAGTCCTTGGGGTGGTGGCTGCAGTCGGAAGCTTGGGTGTCGCAGCGTTGCTCAAGCGATTGGTGAGTGGGAAGTGAATCGCGGTGCTGCTTCCTGTAAGGCTTGCATAGTTGACAACGCCATTTCGAGTATTCAAATGCCCATCTGAGTGAATTTTGCGAAGTTTCAAATCCATAGAGGCTGTCTTCAATGATCAAAAGCTGTGCATGTCGCTGGCGTCAAAGTTGACCATGCTCATGAATGGGTCATTCCAAAAGCCGTCCAGGAGATCCGGATTCATGCCAAAGTGACTCGGCGCCATTTGTGTCAAGTCAAGTGCTTGCCCGTCATTCAGCGCAGCGGTAGCTTGCATCTCATTCGGCGGCGGCTCCAGGATTTTCTCTTCCTGGATGCCAACCTCCGTGCCGCGCACTTCGCTCGCATTCGTAACAGCATCGTATACTATTGACGCCCCCATTCTGTGGGTCAGGCGTGGTTTGCGGTCTCCCGTTTCACCGTCTGAGGTCTGGGCGAGGGCTTCGAAGACTTTGGCAGTCCGACTGTACTCGTCTTCCAGGTCAATAGAGCATCCTCTGAAGTGATCTTGCGCAAGGGCTATGTGGCGCGCGGCTCCTTGGCGCTCTTCGTATGCCACGTCCTGTTGCCCGTAGAAGAACTTGAGGAGAATGATCGTGGCGAATGCAAATCCACGATAGTGGTTTTTCGGTAAGCAGCGCTCGCGTTGTGCTGCGGCTGCAGTGACAAAGCCTCCGTCTGTGGTCCTCCACGAGAGCGTCGCAAGGTGTATGAACCGCTGGGCGGCTGACAGGGCATTTGCCAACATGATGTGTCTTGACGTTCCCTCCGACGCTTTGGCGAAGAACAAAGCGTATATGTGCAGCTTCGCGTCTAAAATATCGAGTTCGATCCGTGTTTCCTTCTCGCCGTGGAGCATGCCTTGCGGCTGCAGTGCACTCAATTCCACATCGACCAATCGAATCAGCGACACTGTAGTTGACTCTCCTGTGTTGCGGTTCAAAAGCGCAGAAAACTTGGCAACCACCAGTTGGATTCTTACCCTGCTAGAGAAGAGGGTCGGTACATTATGAAGCTGAAGGAACTCCTCTATGGTTTGGAGGTCAAGTTCAGAATCTATCGGGGCAGGCAACCCAAGGTGGTAGCTAAGCCTGGTCCGTCGTCAACATTTGAGCTCGCCCTACCGCGAAAGAAGGCGCCAAACTTACGATGTGGTGACAAGAAAGCAGCCCAGCCATGTGTTGATCCTTGCTGATATGTTGCCCGGGGCGACTCCCAAGCTACGCAAGGATGGGACCGTCTGTTGACGATCCAAGCTCATGAACCGTGCTGCCTGGATGGCTACGCCACTATACAACCAGGTGGGATCTTTTGCCTGTGTCTCCACACCAAACGGCCATTCGCACAGTAACACGAGTGCTTGTATCTTGTACAGTGGCAGAGGGGCGTCCATGATCTGCTGGTTCAGATATCTGGTGAACGGGTCCTTGAATCGCATGTTCATGTCCACGAAGCGCGCTTCAGGTCGGTGGGATCCAATGATGATTATGATAGTCCAAAACAGTAGTGGCTGTCCGTGCAACATAGCGTCTACCGATATCGATCCAATAATTGGAAGCTGTGGACGGAAACTGCTGGCGAAGCTAGATTTCGTCAGCCGTTCAGTTGAGACCAAGGCAAAGACTTGTCCTACATTTTGAAGGCCTCCACTGCAACCTCGGTATCTAAGTGAATATTTTCTAAAGAAATGGTCGACGCACGAATATTGAAGTCATCCTCGGCGTGCACTGGATCAAGATTGGCAGGCGAGTCTGAGCCCGCTGTCGAGGATTGCTATCGCGGCACGGCAGGGGAGTCAGTCCCGGATGCCTTGCTTCTGAGCTCAAGGAGCTCCTTGTTCATGGCCTCTAAACGCCTGACGTATTGTCAGCCAAAGCTCATCGAGGCAGTTCCCAAGTTAGCGAGACGTACTTTCGCGCAGGCGTCCGCTTGAATGAAGCGTCCACTGTGCAGAAGAGATTCCGGCCACCACATCTTGAGCATGGATTGGGGAACTTTTCTTTATAGTCGCAGCGCAACTACAGCACATTAGTCCACGGCCATGGGTGCTTTTGATCGTGGCAGGAGAGCGGTGGAGATACTTTTGATTGCTTGCACTCAGTGCAAGTCTTGACGGCACGCGCGCCTGGGGCAGATCGTGAAGCCATCCTGGAAAGTCATGTCTGTGCCGCGCTGGCGGAACATGCAAAAGACAGAGCGAGAAATCGCGGTATGAATTGAAATCCAGCAGGGGTACTCTCTGCCGGCAGACGAGTGCTAGGAGCTGACATGCAGCATTGAACAGTCAAACAGGCGCAGCTGCCGCAAGCCAAATCTCACCATCTTGGTCACCATCTTGGTGTGATATCAGCGACAAAGGGTCTGGATTGCTGTAAAGAAAGTCGACTGAAGTTGACAACGCAACAAGTCTTGCCTGGCATTCGAAATCGACACTAGCCTGGCATGCTTTGCGACGCCGACAGGTCTATGGTAGCCGACATCTGCTGTAGGGTAACGCGAAGAGCATCGGCCCTCGCTGCTAATGATGGCACGACGTCAGCCAATAGCGGGCCCAGCGTCACCCAACAACGTCAACACGTGAATCCATCATCCGTCATCCGTCGTCGAATCCAACATCCCATCCAGCCCTCCCACATCGCCCACTGTCACTCCACTGCGACCCAGCGCTCCCCTCCATTTGGCCGTGCGACATTGAACTCGGTGCATTATCCTCTGATGCCCCCTCTCGAGGACAATTAATTCGGTCAATCGCGCCTCGTCTGCATTGTCCACGCCAGCAGAGAGCATCTACGCATCCGGTGATATTACGTGCGACTACGATTCGAGACGCATTGCCTTTCAGCAAAGCGGCCCCCCACGTCCAGATTAAGCGAGACCCCGTATCCTTCTAGCATCATCGAATTGAGCGAGCGTTTGGCGATTTGTCGCACTTGGCCATTGCCTCCTCGACACTCGTTTTTCTCCCTATCTGAGCGCGGCGCGGACTGCCGCGGCACCGACTGCGTGTTTCTCGCAACAGACTTCGGCATTCGATTCGGCCTCGAGTTCGCAACATTCACAACCCTGATGGATCGCACTCGCATATAAAACAATGAATTCTCTGAATATCCTCACCACACGGGTGGCGCCACCATCTCGATCCAACAGCTTGAGCCACCTCGGCTTGGGAACGTCCGAAGACGAGAAACAGGGCGACAGGGTCGACGCATCCTCACAGAATGATGTTGAATCGTACCCAGCAGTGTCAACCGAGACGCAGTGCGACGAGAAGTATGAGGCTTCAGAAGATACACCTTTGCTAAGCGAGACTGTGGTCGTGAACAAGCGATCCCGCTGGTGGCACTCATTACCGCGCAGCGTTGCTTCAAGTATCCTGGGGTCCATCCGATGGGTGTTTGCAACGCTAGCCTCTCCTGGCGTGTATTTGTACGCCTGCTTCTGCGATGAGCTTGGGTACTTTGCTCCTTGGACCCAGCTGAAGAAGGCATTTGGTTTTCGAAAGGGCGCCGAAGCCAAGAACATAGCTAACGAATATGGTGCATCGGAAAGCGACAGTCGCCTTTCTCCCTCTCATGCACTCGGATCGCAGCAGCGCCGGCGTGCTCATTCTAGATCGTCCTCGATTGCTGTGTCGTCCGAATCCGAATCCGATGAATTGCAACCACGAACACGAAGACACACTCGATCCAAGTCGGAGAATGTGGAAGAAATCAATCCGGCGCGCAAATCGATCCGAATCAAACTCAACAATGACGAGACCCTGGAGAAGCGCAGGCACAGAAAGACCCAGTCGGCCGTGGCGCGAGCCAAATCAAGCGAGCTTGGTCAGGAGGAGCTGTCGGCGCATCTTAAATCGCCCACGTCTCCCACCACCGCGCTGACCAAGTACCCCCGAGCACCTGCGCCTCCCCGTCCTCTGATCCCGCGCCGACAAGCCTCATATCTGAATCTCGAACCGCCGCGCAAACCCACGAAAACCTTGATTCTTGATCTTGACGAGACTTTGATCCATAGCATGTCGAAAGGAGGGAGGATGGCCACAGGCCACATGGTTGAGGTGCGACTCAACCCTGCCTCTCTCGGCGCTGGTGCGCAAGTTGGTCCTCACCCGATTTTGTACTGGGTCAACAAGCGCCCGTTTTGCGATGACTTCTTGCGACGCATTGTCAAGTGGTTCAACCTCGTCATCTTCACGGCTAGTGTCCAAGAATATGCGGATCCTGTCATCGACTGGCTTGAGTCGGAGAAGAAGTTCTTCTCCGCAAGATACTACCGTCAGCACTGCACCTACCGCCAAGGTGCTTACATCAAAGACCTCAGCGCAGTGGAGCCAGATTTGAGTTCTGTCATGATCTTGGACAACAGCCCGCTGAGCTACTTGTTCCACGAGGGTGCGTTTACAGGATCGCGTACTAAGCCACGACTAACGTTCTGCAGACAATGCAATTCCTATACAGGGATGGACCAACGACCCTACGGACCACCACTTGATGCATCTGATACCGCTTTTAGAGGGATTGCAATACGTTCATGATGTGAGGTCACTTCTGGCTCTCAGGGGCGGAGAAGAGGGACAGAATTCATGAGCCTAAGCCGCTCCAATTGCATTGTTGCTGTACATTTAAAGGTTAACACGCTGTTGAATATTGAAGATGGCAAACTCCGTTGCGATGCCTGCCGTTCTGCATTCGCCTGTAATAGATGCTGCATTAATTAAGCCTTTCAGGGTCCAGCCACAATCAGCTACCCCTGAATATATGACGCAGCGAGGTTTCTCATACAGCTGCTCCAGTGACCAAGCGCCCAAAACTCGGTGGACCAGGGCTGTCGACATCATCCAATTCTGATGATGACCATCAGGATCCACGAAACTACGTAGTAGTTACCATGGGCAAAAACCGGCTTCAACCGCGGCTTTTGAACGCGGCTAGAACCGGTTGCAGGGCACTGCCATTGGCTGGCCCTGGGTCTAGGAGGTAAAGCTCCTGCGTTAAGCCACGATTCTGTTAGGGTGTTGCAACCAGCGACAGAGTCAGCAGACAGCGAAAGCTCTGTTGGGTCAATCTGAAGTCATATTATTTGCACTGAGCATTGTTTTCAGACACAAGTGCCGAGCAACAACAAAGACGATATCCGAGGGAATGTGTAATTTTAATATCGAGGCCATCATACTTCCTGTAAGGTTCTGTTCTCCCGCGCTTGCACATGATCTAGCGATTGAGACTAACCGCATGCGGCAGCGCTCCAAGAGCGCAAGAATGATGACATCACAGCCTATGAGTGACGACAGGTGCGACCAGCTGGGTTCTGGAACCTGGAGCAGGAGCTTGCCCAGGCAACTTGGATCACAGAAATGGGTGAAACTCACCCCGATCGAGATCGGTGGAGGGGGGGCTGGCTGCGTTTGGGCTAAGCTGGCTAGCAGTACAAAAGGTTCAAGCTCTGCTGTTGCTACTGTCGTCACGATTTTGATTCTCTCATCTGACGCACTCTTCAACACCATCAATCTTGCCCAATTTCATCCACACACTCACACAAACCGCCATCATGAGCCTGCACTGTAAGTTCTTGTTGACCTCGCTCGTCCTTCTTGTGATGTGGGCGGGGACCCCCGAATGCATGAAGCACCCCAGCTGACCCGTTTACCCCAGACCTTCCCCCCGTCAAGCCTTCGGCCATCGCCCTCGGCACCTTCTTCAACCACGGCGTCGAGCTCGCCGTTCTCTCTCCTCTCTTCGGCGCCACCTACCAGCGCGCCAAGTCTGCCAACACTAAGGAGGAGTTTGTTCGCTCCAAGGAGGCCAGCTCTGCTGCCGTCGCCTGGGGCACCACCCTCGTCGGCTCGGCCCTCCAGGCCTACGGTGTCGGCGCTCTCATCAACGCTACTGGTACTCTCTCCTACAAGGGTGCCACCTACCTCGGTGGCCTCATCTTCGCTGCCACTGCTGCTCCCGGTCTCCTCGTCCAGGCTTTCAGCGAGAGGAGGCCCCTCGACACCGTCGGTGTCAGCGTCCTCGCCAAACTCTTCGAGACCGTCGGTCTGTCGGTCTTCCTCTCCTGGTGGGGGACCCGCACCAACCCCTTCGAGTAAAGGGTTACATAGAATAATTTGACTCGATAGTCAAGTGGCGTTCAGGACAGGCATGGGAAATGGCCGGAATGGACACTCTTGATTGATAATAACCACGAGACGGTGGAGTTCTTTACTGTACTTATGTATCGTCTTTGGCGTATAATTGTACTATTCAACCAAACCAGCATATCCCTTGTGATTCTTGCATGCGCGTGAAAAGGATAATAGACAAGCTTCTGAGCCTGGTGGTTCGCTCAGTTCGGTTCGCGCAAATTGGCCAGATGCCAGATATGTGTGAGCAAGTCGATTCTCAATTGAATAACACCGTAACGCCTTTGACCACAACCGTAAGCCTCTGGTAATGTACATCCAGATGATCGAATATCCCAGTCAGCCCGTACTCTAATCACTTCCTAAGCCACCGCCTTGCCGTCGCCCTTGGACCAGAAGGCCTGCTTGCTCAGCTCCTTCTGCACGTACTTGACCAACGCAGCGTAGCTCTCGCCAAACTCCTCGCCATCCTCCTCCTTCTCGTCGCTCTTCTTCTTGCCACCCTCGCGCTTCTCCATGATCATGACCACACTGGTCGGGCGCTTGGTCTTGGCGGCCGCACCCAACTCTGCGCGCGAAGAGACAAATATGAAGGGAACATTGTGATCTTCGCAGAGGACGGGAAGGTGAGAGATGACATCGGCGGGGGAGATGTCGCCGGCGATGATGACAATGCCGGGGAAAGAGGTGACGCCAGGTCCGGCGGCGGGTGACTTGCGGAGTGTCTTGACAACTTCCTTTACACCACGCTTGAGGGTGTTCGCCTTGGCAGCTACTGTTGTTAGCACGGAATGTATCGCTCCTGGTCGCTCGTTGGGGTCTCACATTTCCGGATGGTCTTGAAAACCTTCTTGGTGCCCTTGTCATCCGCCAATGGCACCGCAAAGGGTACAACGGTCCTCTCGACAGGAAGAGCGGACGCATCGTCAATCTCAACGTCAGAGTCGTCCTCGACGGCAGCGACCTTCTTGACCACGACAGCGGAGGCCTTGACGGCTGTGTCACGCTCAAGCTCGTCTTCCGCGGCAGCGGCAAGCTTCTCCTTCTTTTCCTTCTTGTCCTTCTTGTCCTTTTTGGACTTGCTCACGCCAGACTCATCGCTGCGCTTCTTGTCCTTCTTCTCCTTCTTCTCGGGCTTTTCGGCGGCCATTTTGATTTATCGAACGGCCAATTGGTCTATGCGCAGATGCGTGAGGATGGACAGGGAAAGATCGAGGCTGACGATGTGATGCTGGGTCCGTCGGTCGTCGTGGTAATTGTCGAACTTTGGATTTTCTGGGCGGCCAACTTTTTTTTCTGGGGCCTCAGTCGCTGGCCGAAATTTTCGGTGTTGGCGTCCGGCTCCGCAGGGTCACGTGACCGCCGAAGCGTTCCCGCCAGCACTTGAGGCACGGCTCCTGCTTCGAAAGATGTTGCATGTGGTAATGAATCTAGTACTAAAAGTCATGGTGTTCTGGTGTTGCATTGTGAAGCTTCGGCTCGAACGCAACCAATTGGGTTGACTTCATACTGTGGACTGGGTCTCAAAATGTCTGTCCTGGTGGTATCACCGTACTGGCCACCAACGACCCGTCGATCGCGATTACAAGCTGTTCAAACACTCACGAATCACGGCAGCGTGCGAAGCATCGCAATGCTCCTTCACAAATGAGATTGATTGCACGAAGTTTATCCGGCCCCCATCTAAGTAGTTTGTACAAAGGCATCAAGGACAAAGAAATCCCATAGTCGAACAACATCTATTCCTCGTCCGCAAACTCAGCGCGACCGGCCTTGGAGTTGAGATAATGGTTGCTGCATCGATCCTGTCAGCGCCTGAGAACAATGAGGCTCGATCCAAGGAGTAACATACCGCTCAGTGGCCCAGTTCAGGATGTAGTAGCCGGCAAAAGCGGCGGGGAGCCAGTAGAAGATCTGGGACTTGGTGCGGCGGAAGGTGTTGAAGACAGCATCGTAGGTCGCGCCAGCAAATGGGTTCTGGCGGTTGGCAGAGAGACCCCACTGGACAATGCCCTTCTGCTTGTTGGCACCACCTATACGGTCAGCATTTGCTCAGTCAACACGCGCGAGCCATGTCGTCGGGTCACTCCCAGAGCTCCTTAGACAAAACCGAGGTTTGTAGCGAATCTGCTCAGCGAGAAGGCTCCAATCTTTGTCGATTGAATTTCGTCTTCACTCTTCCACGTCATAGCGGTCCTCTGGTCTATCGCGTCGCAGCTGGGTTCGGTCGACTCGGCTCGGCGTGCAATCGAAGGTAATCTATGGTCACTCACCAATGGAGCCCCAGTCACCAATATAGCTGCAGACTGTTAACATCCTGTCTCTCAAGTGATGCATCGCGCAACGGTGCCGGCTGGATAAAGGCCGCATTCGACCGCTCGCCGCGCTCCGCTGACTGATGGTGAGGAACTCACTGTCCGGTCTTGGGGTCGGGCGCACCGCCCCCGCGAAGGATCTGGGTAGGTCTCATGATGGCCAATTTCCGTCAATGGGTTGGGGGGATATCGGGATGCGAGGTTGAGGATTTCGGGCGAGGTCGGTGGAAAACATCAAGCAACGGGGCTTGCCGGGTTTTAGCCGCGCATATGGGCAGACGCATGCGCCAATAGCACGACACTGTTTTCTACAACGCCTGCCTGTGCACTGGGCTGGGGAGCGAACGATGACACTCTCGTCCCAGAGAATTTACGGTTGGACTCTCGCTGCATTGGATGGGCTAGAGACACACAACAAGATATCGCCGCCTTTATAATTTCAACGACCAGAGGAACGTTTCAGTGACGTCCAAGCTGGAACTGGGCTTTGCGTACCCTATAGACGGACCTCGCGGCTTCTCTGGCTGATCTTAATGCATCACTGGCAACTTTTGATCCGAAATTTGACGTGCTGAACTATTACAAGATAAGCGCCTAAGTCGTTCCATCGAGTGCTCTCGCGATAGGCATGTGCACTCTTGGGCTTTGACGGTCTACGCAGATAGCGTGATCTTCAGCAGCGACCCTGTGACTTCGAATGAATGGGCCTCAATGTAAGCGGCCATGAAATGATTCAAAGCATTTCTCCCTCCGAATTTTCAAACGTTTCTGAGCATCGTGCTCATCCACAATTTTCCGTCATCTGTTGCCTTCTATTGTTGGCTCATTTCTCCTCCGCTCCTGAATGCTGCGCCCTGGCCTAACTCCATCCACATCATCTCATGCGACATCCACCACCCCTACCTTTTCCACGAAACTCAACAAGAGGGAAGATCTTCCGCCCATGCCTGCTCCTCAAACTCACCCAATGTTTCTAAAAGGCTGATGTGTATGGTATGACCGCAATGAACAGCCGCCACAATGAGTCTCGATCTCAAGCACATTCCCTGCCCAGCCGGCAACAGTTGCACCGCTTTCAAATGCATCTTTGGCCATCAAAGGGACATCAAAGCTCCCACTGTCACAACTCCGCAAGTCGATGACGCACAGCAGTTCAAAGCAGGGAGAGACAGCGGACCGCCAAAGAAACGCGTGAAGGTGGACGATGCACCATCCGCAAACAACGACCACAAGTCAACGTCGGACGTAGACGCCCTGCCAGGCAGCGTGAGGACGGCCACGAAACAAGTGTCACCACCGCCGCTGAAAAGGCCATCGACTGTTTCCAAAACAAATCCGGGATCCGCGGGATCTTTGGCCAAAGCCTCTACTGGGTCAAAAGCAGTTTCAAACTCGACTCCCGTTAAACCAAGAAAGGTTGAGACTTTGAATCCCAGGCTTCTGAAAAGCTCCCCTGCCAGCCATGAAACACGCACCAAACTATTGCGATTACTACATGGCGAATACACACGCCTCAATAAGGAGCTGAAGAAGGATGCCAGCGCCAGCGAAGAAGAACTCGTGCTCTCGGATCAAGACATAATCTTCAAATCGCTCGACGACGAGGAGAAAACTGCCCTGGAGAAACCTTCTGTATACTCCAACGTCATGAAGAATATGGTTATGCAGTACAAGCGTATGAATACTGCCCAGTGGAAGGATGAACGCAAACAAGCTATCGCCAAGCTTGCTCCCAAGGACACCAACGACGCCAGCGTACCGAAGAATATCGAGACTGGACTGCCCCCAGCTTTAGAAGTCCAGATTCTGCGACGTCTGTTGACACCGATCCAGAACCTAGCGAATCATGGCTATGTGCCTTCCGTACCGAAACCAGAAGACATACAGAAAGCCAAGGACGGGCAGGAAACAGCAAACGGCTGGGAGCAATGTGATCGATGCAAGCAGCGCTTCCAGGTATTCCCAGGCCGCCGCGGCGAAGACGGCGCACTCACCTCGGGCGGGATGTGCAGATATCACTGGGGCAAGCAGTATGTCCCCCTCAAGCACCCGGGGGATCGCTCAAGGAGAGAAAAGCGATGGAAGTGTTGTACCGAGGAAGTTGGCGAGTCAGCAGGCTGTCATACGGAAGATTTCCACGTCTTCAAGGCGAGCAAGGCCAACATGCTGGCCGCAGTCATGAATTATAGAGAAACACCCCCCAATCCGTCTGCGCCTGCAGACCGAGCTGTGGCGTTTGATTGTGAGATGGGATACACTGTCCATGGTCTGGAGCTCATCCGCCTTACTGCAGTATCATGGCCAGCTGGGAAGGTACTCCTCGACGTGCTTGTACGTCCCATCGGCGAGATATTGGATCTGAACAGTCGCTTCTCTGGTGTATGGCCAGATGACATGGCCCGCGCAACACCCTGGAACGAATCGTATCCTCCTCCCTTGGCAGCAGAGCCTGCAGTGTCTGAAGATTGGGGCAGCGAAGATGGTCAGGTCGCTAAGAAGGTCCTGCCCATTGTTCCCTCTCCTGAAGCGGCACGAACACTCCTTTTCTCATTGCTCGCACCGTCAACACCGTTGATTGGCCACGGACTCGAGAACGATCTCAACGCCACTCGTATAATCCATCCAGCCTTGGTCGATACTATTCTGCTGTATCCGCACAAAGCTGGACTACCTGCTCGGATGGGTCTGAAGCATCTGATGAGCTACCACCTGAACCGTCAGATCCAACAAGAAACCGGCCCCAAGATGCTAGGCCACGATTCGGCCGAGGACGCCAGGGCAGCCGGCGACCTCGCAAAGCTACGGGTCGTGGAAGAGTGGGGGAAGATGCAGCGGATGGGCTGGAAGGTTGTTGAAGGTGAACTGATCCAGCCTGATACTTGACAGCTTCATCATTCATGCATTGGGTTGGGCTAGAAGCCCACCGTGGGTGTTGTTTTGCGGCGTTTGGTGGGCTTGATACATAGCGGACCGTTCTACGGAGTCACAATTTGAGAACTGCGAGTGCCTTCCTCCTTGGTGATTATGTGATCTTTTCCCTAGACCTAGAAGTAGAAGTACAATCCTTGTAGTACAATTTATCAAATAAGCGGCGAGTCCATCCTGCCCATGTCCATCTTTACGCCCTGCCAACTGACAAAAGGTATTGGCCACCCTGTTTCCCAGAACCACCGGGCAGGTATGCGACATTGGGGTTGGACGCCAATGTTTGCGCGATTTCCCTACTCGCCTCGATCTTTCGGATCTGGATCAAGCCGTCACCACTCTTTGCAATCGCCTTGCTGATCTCTTCCGCACTCTCGGCCTCACCCTCTGCACGGATAACGCTCGCCTGTCGCTCCTGCTCGGCCTTCTCAACGATGAAGCGAGCTCGCTCGGCGTCCTGCTGGGCAATCTGCTTCTGCTCGACAGCCTTTGTGAATTCACGACCAAAGGTCATGTGGGTGATGGAGACATCCTCGAGGGCAATGTTGAATTCGGCGGCACGGCGGGTCAGATCGCTTCGGATGCGCTGGGAGACGGCTTCACGCTGGGTGATCAGCTCGGCAGCGTCGAACTGGGCGACAATAGCCTTCAGGACTTCGTTGCCGATGGAGGGAAGAACACGCTCGTCGTAATCGGCGCCGAGGTTCTTGTCAAGTTAGAGCGGTGCGCTACAGTGAGCCTAGGAAATGCTAACGTACCTGGTAAATCTTGGGGAGGGCTTGCACGTTTGGTCGATGCAACACACGCAGCGTCAAGCTGACCATCTGTAGATCTTTGCTGCCGGTCGTCGTTGAGATACTCCTTGGCTTGGTGCGCACATCAAAGATGATGCTGCGCTGCAGCCACGGGACTAGGAAGTGCGTGCCCTCGTTGATGACGTCCTCCTTGACACCGGAAAGCCTGTCGAAGATGACGGCGCGAGTCCCGCCTTTGACATCGTAGATGGCCTGGCTCGCGAAGAAGGCGCCGACGGTGGCTGGGACCGCGAGGCGGTAGGTAAAGTTGAGAGCCCGTGCAATGTTAGCCATCTTGAAAGCGGGCTTTGGGGATGGCTTCGGATTGTGTGGGATGGTGAAGCTGTTCGGGACTCGGGGCTTGAGGTGGTGATGCATCCAGATCTTCGAGCTATCATCGACATCACGTGACCAGCAAACGACAGACTGCCAATTCCTGGAGGAAGAAGACACGCCGACCGACCTGGTTGTTTCTCGATAGAAGCACAGCGCCTGACTTCATTCTTTTAGTTCACAACGGCACCGGAAATACTCATCTGGTCCCATCGCTGCAAGCACCGGGCTGATCTCACAATCATCGAGGCTATGCGGTGCAGTTGTGCTGCTTAGAACGCGTGCACCCTTGCGCCTGCAGTGTGTCGAATTTCCAGACAACTCTACGGAGTACCCAAGCCTGGCACTTTCCAGCTGTCTATGGCCATTGCCCCCATCATTTGGCACAGTCACCTCCCGTTCGACGTGCCTGTGCCGGATTAAACGTCTGTACAGAGTACTGTATGTTGAAGCGCCAGACGTCGGCCTCGTGAAATCCATGATTCACCTGAGAGGCTGAGATCCTGCGGAACGAATCGGCATTCGGATTTCGGAAGGGACCGCGCGCGGATTTTGATGGACTTTAGCGGACGTTGCGCTTCGAGTGGAATTGGCGTTGCAACATACAGTTTGGTTCACATCAGTAGGCGGGCAGTGCGCTCGCCATGCCACTCCAACAACTGAGGCGCCAGTTACCCTCCGCTCCTCTGTTTCGTCTCCTCGACACAGTTCCTCGAGTCAAGATCATCCAACGCCGGTCGCGCATTATGGAGCACATTGGTGGCAGTCCCAAAGCACAGCACCTTTGCGTGCTCGTCCATGGTGTCAGTCCCCAACCAATCCCGTGTCCGCGTCATCGAAATTGTTGAGGCTTACAATTCACAGTTATGGGGGAACCCGAACCATATGAACAACATTGCGAAGAGTTTGCGCGCGACGTTCCCTCCCGAAGAGCTGTATCTCCTCCTCGCCAAGCGAAATAGCGGTAGCTTCACCTACGATGGCATCGAACGTGGGGGCGAGCGCGTGTGCCACGAGATCGAGGAAGAAATGAAGATGATTGAGGAAAAAGGTGGCAAGATTACAAAGTTGAGTATCATTGGGTACTCACTTGGTGGGCTTGTGTCGCGTTACGCTGTGGGCTTGCTGGAAGCCAAGGGCATTCTCGATCGCGTCGAGTGTATGAACTTTACAACGTTTGCGACACCACATCTCGGCGTGCGATCGCCGCTCAAGGGGTGGCACAATCATGTCTGGAACGTCCTCGGCGCAAGGACGCTGTCCATGTCTGGACGCCAGTTGTTCATCATTGACCAATTCCGCGATACTGGAAGACCGCTGCTGGCTGTACTGGCAGACCCCAAGTCAATCTTCATGTCAGGCATGCGGAAATTCAAGCGGCACACATTGTATTGCAACATTGTCAATGATCGCAGCGCAGTGTACTACACGACAGGAATACAGAAGACCGACCCGTACAGGGATCTGGACTCGCTCAAGGTTAATTGGGTGGAAGGGTACGACAACGTCATACTTGATCCCGCGAACCCCTACAAGGCCTACACCAAAGTCCCAGATCCGACTTCCTTTTCGTCGTTGACCGTGGCGGGCCTGCGGTGGCTCAAGAGGATACCATTCATGATTGCACTTGGCATCTTTGTTCCGATTGGCGTGATCGGATATCTCTTGAACTCCATCGTGCAAAACGCACGAAGCTCAAGTCGCATCAAGCTATACGAGAAAGGACATGAGGGCGTCAGAATAGAACAGTATCGGGTCCCCGTCCTTCTCAAAGAGATGCGGGAGGAAGTCGAACAGGTTTTTGAGACGATCAACAGTTCTCAAGAGCAGGAGTATCTGCGCCCCGAAGATGAGTCCGATGCGGAACATCTAGGAGTTGACCAGCGCTCCCGGATGAAGAGAGAGCGCAGAATGTCTGTGGCTTCGGAGCCTACTTTGGCATTGGCCCCAGCTCAGTTCGAGATGATTGATGGGCTGGACACACTCAACTGGCGGAAGTATCCCGTCTGGATTCAAAGAATCCGGCATAGCCATGCAGCCATCATTGTGCGAATGGACAGGGATGCATTTAGCGAGGGCAAGGTGGTACTAAAGCACTATGCTCAGTCAGAGTTCTTGAGGTGAAGCGGGCAATGTCCTTGCTTCTGGCTAGGATATGTAGATATCAAATCAGCGTCTCTAACCATAGACTTACATAGCACGTACATAAAGCTTTCGTTCAAAGATTTGTGTAATGGCTGCGTACAGAATCAATGTCTGACACAAACGTGCCGGTCGTCTGCTGTGCACGCACCTGGATGACTGGAGGCCCCCTTGAAATTGACCTGCTTTTTTACGTGCCAATTGATCATCTGCCAATTTTCACGAGAAGTGTAGATTCATCCCTTGACGATTGGCGTCCTATGTCATGACGTCGAGCACACAGTAAGAATCGGACCAGACAGCAAGAAGCAAAGCTTCCAGACCTTCAGCCAACATGAAACCAGGCCAATTGAGCAACGACGTAGCTCTGAGGAACGCCGTCTTACTCTTACCCCAGACGGCTCAGGCGAGCAGTTGCGTTTGACCCCGCAGCTATGACCAATCACAGCACGGTAATCTACTCCTGAACTGCTCCGGCCAATGAGACGGCACCCCGGGTGGCAACCACCAAAATCCAATCCGAGCCGACACACCGTGCAGCAAGTCCAGCAGCTCATCAGTCGATTCCTCCCAAACGGTCTCGACCTTTTGTTCCATCATCTTCCACCTCCTCTTACCTCTGTACAACACCCCAGCTCCTCATTCCTCTTCTGTTGCCGTCTCGTGCTTTGGTCGCTGCGTGAGCGATACTCCTCTTCTAGCACTGCTGTATCCAGAATTTGAAGGGCATGATCGGCTGCGCAATCTTTGGCCGAGCTCAGTAGGGCAGCATCAGCGACAGGACGCACCGCGTGAGCCGATACTCTCTTCGAGCCTAACCTTCCGACATTCAACTTCACAATGGTTCTTCAACACTCAACTACGCACACATACTCGCATCCCTTTCCGACCGTCACCCTCGCCTACTTTCTTCGCTATTCATCGCCACGTCTGAACCCCTTCGCCACCCACGTCCTCAGCACCGACACCATCTCCAGCCATGTCGACCCAGAAACACAGCGTCTCCATACGACGAGGATTCACCTCAAGAAAAGCCGTATGCCTGGCGCGGTATACAAGCTCTTGCCAACGAGCATGACAGGTGGCGGTTCCGGCGACAAGTCAAGCTACGTTCTCGAGACCAGTATTGTGGACATTCGGGAAGGCTGGATGAGCACCGAGTCGCGCAACCTCAATTTCACTGGCGTGCTGTCCGTCGTAGAGCGGCAGCACTTTGCCATCCCCACGAACCGTGGCATCACAAGCGAGACTGATGTCACCACCACGGTCAACTTCCGATCAAGGATTGGCGAGAAGCTGCGAGACAAATTCGGCCAGGCCCAAGCCCAGAGCGACGGTTGGTTCTTTTCCGGCTGGGGCGCGAAAAGGATTGGCTCCACGATTGAGAGTCTCGCGTCGAACAAGACGCAGGACCAGATGGGTAAAAGCCGCGATGGGATGCGCCTGGTTCTGGAAAGAATCCGCAATACTGGGATGATCGGAGTCCTGGAAACCCTGAGAAGGGAGCGACAAATCCAGGCTTGAGCCATTGAACAATATTTGAGAACTGCGCGCAATCCCACGCAGAACTGGGCAACAACGACCATGATGGACCTTGGGTCCAATGTACACTCTGACATTTGTTTTTCAAAGCACGGCGTCATGGGTTGATTCAAAATCTGATCGACAGCTGGGGGAGGCATAGTCGAAAGCACAAGGCAGGACAGCGGGGGGTGAAGAGCATTTTGGCAGGTCACAAGTCCCCTCTCTTTGGTTTTCTGGGTAGCAGATGTACCTGTATGCATAGCAACGAGTGTATACATAGTATAACGAAGCAACGATTATATCTTGTTCTCGTATTGTCTTGGTTGCCACTGATTGTTGAGTAGACATGTCGGGCTCAACCCGTGCCGTTTCTGTGCTGAAAATAGCGGAATTGGCTAGTGTTAAATCGACTCGTTTCCCTACGCCTACGAGAACAAAACAAAAAAAGGCCGAGCAATTACACAAGTTCGTCAATGAATACCTAGTGAACAGCACGTTCAAATATTGCGAGGCTGTTGGGTGTCTGTTGTGGTGTGACGCACTGTGCTACAATGCCATTTCGCGACTAAGTATGGTGCGATATGGGACATTATGACAACAAACGCACTGTACGTAGTATCACTACCGCGGGGTATCCATGATCATCTATCTGATAGCCTTTTCCACTTTGATGTTTGCCTCAGCCTCCTCCTCTCTCATCTCGATAAGCCCTGCATCGTACTCACGGATATGTCTGAGCCTGTGTGTGTCCTCTTTGTCTGCCTCGGCAACATCTGCCGGTCCACAATGGCAGAGGGCATCTTCCGGCACATCGTCAAGGACCCGCAGTATCAAGGGCGCATAGGGAAAATCGACTCTTGTGGCACAGGTACTTTGATTCGGCAGGGGTGATGGTAGCTCAATTAGTAACGAACACATATCATAGGCGCTTACCACGCTGGTGATGACCCTGACGAGAGAACAATGGCCACGCTGGAACAGAACGGCATCACAGGCTACCGGCATGCTGCCCGCAAAGTCAGTCCCATGCCGCGCGCCCTTGCACATCTCATTACCTGACACAACCCAGTTCAAGAACTCAGATCTTCAGGAGTTTGACTATGTCTTCGCCATGGACCGCTCGAACTTGTCGGACTTGAGGCGTAAAACATCAAGTGGCGACAAAGCCAAGGTCATGCTCTTTGGAGAGTATTCCGGCACGGGCAAGGCGGAGATTGTCAACGACCCATACTATGGTGGCGATCAGGGATTCAAGACGGCTTTTGAGCAGTGCAGCCGGTTCGCACGTAACTTCCTGGATGAGGTGGTGGTGAAGGAGAATTAGACAACACTCACTCTTGGGCATTCAGATGGCAAGATGGTTACAGCACTAGAAATAGAAGACTGACAGACATGAGACGTTTTGGATAAAGAGATTAGCCACTACAAGCAGTCCAAGAAACACCTCCATCCTTGAGTCTATTTAGTGATGAAGCCCTGGGTGATGCCAGACCAGGGTGTGTCAAGGCGGGTGAAGATCCAAGCGTCACTGGCCATGGAATCCACACAACTAAGGTAGAATGATACTATTTTCATGCAGGTATTTTCACTGTACCCACAATGTACAACTGTCAAGTAAGATAGAACGTGCCCATATCTTCATTCTCATATTTTGGAATCGCAGTAATTACCGAGTCATCCCCTAATTCTGTCTATACGTACTATTAGCTACCGAGGGCGTATGGAACCATGAAAGCTACCATGGCGGAGGCGAAGATTTCAGACGAGGCATTGTCCAAGGTAAGATATATCTGTTTGGACATCTATAAAGATCCAAGAACAACAGCTGTATATGTTCTCTTAACCCGCACAGGCTCAAGATCGTGGGTTGAACTTTGACAGCAGGGATTTTGATCAAACAAGAACCGACGGACTCCTCAAGTCTCTAATGAAGCCTCCGACTGGCATTGCCAATTATCTGGGTCTGTTACAGCAGTTTGTTATTTCATAGAGTCTGGAACACGGCTCCTCATCCTGCCGTGGTTCCTGGTACAACGTGCCAAAAGAACCAAGTCAGCCCTCCGACAACCCTCACGAGAGCATCGCAAATGTGCCATCACATAAAGTCCCAGTTCTCATCCAGGCACAAACTACACTACGGCCTAGGGATTTCAAGGGTATCTACACCATTCCAGGTCAGTGCTTCACTACATGCATGCAGAGGCATATGCACCTATCAAGTGTTGACATGCCGGACCTGCCCACCCCTTTTTGTACTATGTCCAGCCATGTCCGTCACGATTCAAGACGCCGGGATGAGAGGGAAGGAAAAAGCAATCTCATTCCACAAGTACACAGATAACTACTCTACTAACGTGGTTGATCCTCTATTTCCGAGTGTTGAGTTGTTTCGTCACCTCGGCACCAATGCCCAAAGCTCCCAAGAGAGTTGAAGCCTGAATATCGATCTTCAAAGGGACGGCGTATCAAGGGCTATTGACGTGAGACCCGCCAGGTATCGGGCGCAACTCACCAGGTTAGTAGACGATGGAGGAGGAGCTCTAGATAGATGGTCGGTTGTGTAAGCAATCGTCGGAACGAGCTCTTAGGGCTTCGCCTGTTTGCAAAAGGCCGTGTTCAGCACACTCGGAAAGGCGCACATGCCTCCAGCATGTAGCCGGTGGTTGGCCAACACGGTAATACTGACCAAATTGAAAAGATCTTGAACGACTTACCGGCTTCGTTCCATGTAATATTCTTCATGAGCTCATGAAGAAAGCGATTCTGCCGTGGCCCAAGGAGCGGCTTCTGACGAATGTCCAAGGGGTTTGCGCGAATTGAGAGACGCCCTAGAAAACACGGATCCTGAGTGGTAATGTCCTGTTCGAACTTCGGCCCCTAAATGAACTCGGCCAATCTCCAGCTGTCAAGGTCCTTTTGAAGCGATGCTGCAGGCTAGCTGGAAACGCGCCAGCCTCGAGTACAAACGCTGTCTAAAAATTGACCGCGATATATCCAACAGTTGTGAAGGGCAACTACCAAGTACAATGCAGGAGCGAGGATTGTATCGTGTCCATGGTGTGATTGTTGTGTGTGATTCGTGGGTCGGCGGCTGCCTCAATACCGGGCTGAAATGACAACGGCAGCAAGGCGCAGCCATTGGCCTAACAGCTGCTGCAGTCATCATCGTGCAAGTCTGATAAGGCAGCTACGTACCCGGACCACCACCACCTGGCGCCCGCCATCCCTCCTGCCAGACGGGAACGAACCCCACAGGCTATTCTTGGGCTGCGCCTGCGCCTCTACGCGCCGCCGACTTTGATGTACCATCCATATTAATATCTACCAAGCTCTGTCCTGCTGCTCTCGTCATTGTCCATCTGTCATTATTTCAGCCCTGAGCAATCTTCCTCTCGTTCTCTTGCCTCACTTTGCTCGACGCAGCACAGCAATCACCACTGCTCTTCTTCGACTGCCCCGCATCCTCATCACCAACGCGCGTACCGGCGCCTGCATCTACCCCTCGCTCGCATTCTCGAGCTCTCTCTAATCCGCCGTTCCTCCCCGACACGTACCGCGACAAAGACATCAAACATGGCAGACCTCCAGGGGCGCAAGGTCTTCAAGGTCTTCAACCAAGACTTCATCGTGGACGAGCGGTACACCGTGACCAAGGAGCTCGGCCAGGGCGCATATGGCATCGTCTGGTAGGCACTGTCCGCGCTTACCCCGCCGTTTCGTGATGCTGACGGGTAGCAAACAGCGCAGCCGTGAATAGCCAGACCAACGAGGGCGTCGCTATCAAGAAGGTCACCAATGTTTTTAGCAAGAAGATTCTGGCCAAGCGTGCCCTGCGCGAGATCAAGCTGCTGCAGCATTTCCGGGGGCATCGAAACGTGAGAGCGTCCCGACGGCAGACCAGATGGAAGCAAGCCACTGACAAAGGTGACCTAGATTGCATGCCTTTATGACATGGACATTCCTCGTCCCGATAACTTCAACGAGACATACCTCTACGAGGAGCTTATGGAATGCGACCTGGCAGCCATCATCCGTTCAGGCCAGCCCCTGACCGACGCCCACTTCCAGTCCTTCATCTACCAGATCCTCTGCGGTCTCAAGTACATCCACTCGGCCAACGTCCTGCACCGCGACCTCAAACCTGGCAACTTGCTTGTCAACGCCGATTGCGAGCTGAAGATCTGCGACTTTGGCCTGGCTCGTGGCTTCTCGGTCGATCCGGAGGAGAATGCTGGCTACATGACCGAATACGTGGCAACCAGGTGGTACCGTGCGCCCGAGATCATGCTCAGCTTCCAGAGTTACACCAAGGCCATTGACGTGTGGTCTGTCGGCTGTATTCTTGCTGAGCTGCTCGGAGGCCGGCCCTTCTTCAAGGGTCGCGACTACGTCGACCAGCTCAACCAGATCCTCCACATCCTCGGCACACCCAACGAGGAGACGCTCTCGCGCATCGGCTCGCCCCGCGCACAGGAGTATGTGCGCAACCTGCCGTTCATGCCCAAGAAGCACTTCCCTGCACTGTTCCCCAACGCGAACCCGGACGCGCTCGACTTGCTGGACAAGATGCTCGCGTTCGACCCCTCAAGCCGCATCAGCGTCGAGCAGGCGCTTGAGCACCCCTACCTTCAGATTTGGCACGATGCCTCGGACGAGCCAGACTGCCCGACCACCTTCAACTTTGACTTTGAGGTCGTCGACGATGTTGGAGAGATGCGTCGCTGCATCCTAGACGAGGTGCACAGGTTCCGCCAGAGCGTGCGAACAGCGCCAGGTGGTGGTGCGCAGGGCGGCGGACCTAACCAGCAGCAAGTGCCGGGCCAGGTACCCATGCCGCAGAACAATGGACAGTGGACAGCCGAGGACCCGCGTCCGCAGGAGTATGTGGGACAGCACGGCGGGTTGGAGCAGGACTTGGCCGGTGGGTTGGATGCCACGCGAAGGTAAAAAGGGGTTGGTCGGGTGTGGTGGATCTTGGGTGTTAGACAAAGGAGCGAGCGGACGCTTGGACAACATTTCTATTTTCGTTTGGCGACGCACGCGCAAGTAATGAACCCTTGCGCCATGAGACTGTTTTTTCCATGCTATTCTTCTTTGTATCGGTGCATGGAATAATCAAGGTACGTACGTAGGGAGATGGGGAATAGGTCGCCAAGCGGCCACGGCAATCTGTGTAAGCGCCCGTAGCAAAGCGTCGCACTAAGGCGTGGCCAAGGCTGGGCATGCGAGGTTTCAGAATGCCATGTTCACATGTCATTTCGCAGAGGGCGGCACTGCTCTTGTGATTTCTTTTCCAAGGTTTTTCAATAACAGAGTCTCAGTAGAACTAGACGAGAAAGAAAGAAAACCCAATCTATTACCCACGACGCCAGACACCATGTGAGACTGACATGACTAGTCTAGCATCTATAAATCAAAAACCACCATGGAGTCTTCACCCAAAGAACCAGTACTGCGCGGTGTATCCCGTGCTGATATCCCCCTCCTCAGCGCCTGTGCACTTGTGCGCAGCCCCTCCGACGGTGAGGACCCTGTAGACCAGCGTCGCGCCCACGCTGCCCTCGACGGCACCGAGGTACAGCCAGTCGACAGCCCCGGTGCCGTCGACCCCGGCGTCCGCGCTGGCGGGCGCCTTGATGTTGTCAATCTTGTAGGCGAAGAAGTCGATCTCCCCATTGCCAACCTCAAAGTGAGGGACCCCGGCGGCGGTGAAGAGGTGGTGACCGGAGAAGGGAATGCTCAGCCCGTCGACGACCAGGTCGTCCGTTCCGGGGAATGGCGAGCCCGCCTCAACGACGCCCTCAATGGTGGCGTTGGGCTGGGCAAAGTTGAGAGGGATGTCCTGCGAGTAGAGGGTGGTGGAGGGGAGGGCGTCAAAGGCGTCGATGGTGAGCGACTGGTCGGACTGGCCCGGGTACAGGGGTGTGATGTCGTAGAACATGGCGAGCGCGCCGGTGGCCTTTGAGGTGAGGTCCTCGTTGCATGTGTAGTTTTGGATGCCGAAACCGAGGGCAATGTGCTTGACCCTGAGGTCCTTTCCGGGGCTCTCGAGCTCATGTTCTTGAAGGGGAGAGTCAGCAATTGCGCGGGCTTGTCATTATGAGGTTCTCTCATGAACTTACCACCACCGTTGAAGGGGAGTGTTGGGCGTGGACGGCTGGCGCTGCATGAAGAGCCACTTTGGCGTTTGACAGGTGTGGCGACGGCAAGAGCCGCCGTCGCAAGGATGTAGAATGTTTTGCAGAGCATGATGTTTGGTGGACGGGCGAGTGTTTTGGTTTCTTGTGTGTCAATGGTGGAGGAGGGTTTGTCTCAGATAATAGGCCGTGTAAGTCCAGCAAACAGGGCCGCGCGAGGGATGTCGTGTATAGCAAGGAGATACGGCAAAGAAATACCCAAGGAAAGCGATAGAAAAGGGAATTCGAAGAGACTGTCTTTTGAATGATCGTGACACGAGACTGGTAATGACGAGGCTGGACGAGCAGGATGGGCATTCGTCTTATAGACCTCTCAAGCGCCCGCCAAGGCTACCAAGGGCATCCTTGCAGGCCGCGCCGAGAGGCGGCCACCCGCAGCGGGCGGCAGACTGCAAGGATGCTTCTCCGAGGGGGGAGGTTGCAATATGCATCCCTCCCACGAGTCAAGCTGATGTGCATGCGCATGAGTCTGGGAGGATGTTGGTTTTGTGGTGAGCAGCGGGCATTGCTGTGCGGCGAATACTACTAGTTGAGTGTACTAGTACGTATATTCTCTGCTACGCCCTGAAATTGATTTCCGACCTGGTCCTGTGTCAAGGAGACTGGCAGTAGAGACAGGTGTCAACACTCACCACAAACATGAAGACGACACTTGGGCATTGACGGCTGAGGGAAGATGCCAGCGGAGTTTGGCGGGACAAGCCAAGAACAGCTAATACCATTTCCATGTACGTACAAACGTACGTTTACTACTGCCGACTGCGCGTCGTGGGGATTGATACCCGTCGTAGCGAATGAGGGAGCTGCTCGAGTTCGATAGTTGCGGTTATCGGCAATATGGCCAAGTGTTAAGGTCCAGGATGCTCCAGAGGTGACCACCTTGCGCAATTATCCGACCAGCCTTGCAGCCTTCCCAAACACGCATCTGACGATTCCCCCTTTCCCCTGGATCTACGTACGTGGTACTACCAACAGTCTCCGTCTGATCTGATGCAGAGGCGCGCCGATCTCGCTGGAGGAGTGTCGCGATGCCCACGTGCGGCCTGGAGTGCAAATCTCTTCAAAGACCGAGACATGCGTCCCAGCCTCCGGCTCTCATCTCTGCAATGCGCCTAACCGCCAGCGCGCTTAATTGGGGGGCCGTCATTGGTCGCCTGGCGAATGATTAAAATAGATGCCTCGCTCAATCGGCGGGGAAGAGGGGCTCGTTCGGGTGCTGTAATCTGTGCCCCGTCCGCCAAGCAGCTAATCGAACTAATTGCTGCTTGTAAGCAGGTTGAATTGTCGGATGTGATCCTTCTGGCATGCTACAGTAAGTAATCAGACCCTAGACGGGTGGGATTCAAAAAGTGCCTCATCTGCACCGAGAGCACTCCGCATCCTCTACATGTTCTGGACATGGACTGGCGACATGCGGCATGCAGGGACATGTCGAGGATCTGCATATCTTCAAACACTTTGAGCAGTGGCACCAGCAGTTCTTGGGAACTCCCGACTTTACCTATTCAAGTTCAGGTTGCTAGACTTCAATGTTGCTAGGCACATCTCACTTCTACTGACCACACGGTGGATGTCACCTTCAAGCTTCAAGCCCCAGAATTCAGTTTCAACTAAGTTAATGTTCAGTTTCGCTTCGACAGATCACACGGTGAATCAACACGGCTCTGAAACCGCTCCCCCCCAGTTTCACCCCCGCCTCCTCAGTTTCAGGGCCGTTCGACCGCTCAGGTAGGCTCTCAACAGGGCAATGGACCCTTGCATTCGAGCCTTCTACACAAACGTTCGCCCAGATGAGGAAAGAAGAATTCAACAATGTCGCAGCAAGTCAGATAAGTACCTACACTGGGGTGACTTGTTTGCTCCGTTGCGGGGAGCCATCCCGAGACGCGCTTAGATCGCTTAGCATTTAGCCATGGGCACAAAGTAGGACCAACGGCATTACGAACCCGGCAGAGCGCATGACCAACGGCGCCGGTGCGAAGTTCAGGCTGACTGTATTAGTGAGGAATCTTAGCCGATAACTTGCACTGCACTCTCGTCTTTTTCCCTCCGAGATTCCGCACCTCTGTGAGCTGCTACATCATACGTGTGCATTGTACGCAGTAGTGAGCATAATGCGGGAGGATTCAATAACTATGTTTTTTTTTCTGGCACACTGACAAACAACAGGCAAAGTCCAGATGAAACAGCAACATTTCGTCCTGAAGTAGGTAGGCCGCCAATGTGTCGATGTGCCAGTGTCACCCTAGGAAGTCTGTGTAAGCACTACAGCGTCGCCCAGCAGCAGAATCACAGTGGCCAAAATAGCCATGCACGCAAAAGGCAGCGCCATTCAAGTTCAGTAACTCGTACATGTGGAGGACTGGCCCTTTCATGAGCTGGCCATAAGCAACAAGTCAGGCACTAATAGCATCGCTCTTATACCAGCGTCATCTGCCCTTTCGTACAGACCAGTGCGGAACTCTGTATACTTACTTACTCTCAGGCTGACATCTCAAGCAATAATCAGACAGCACTTCTTTTCATCAGGCCCCCAAAATCCACCGCAACATGACCTCGAACGCCAACACGTCGCCTCAGCGCATCTTCATCTTCGACAATCCTAGGTGCCGGTCTCACCTGTTCTTCCGCCTGCTGTCAACCCATCCTCAACTGAAGAGTCACTACCATCCATACGTCCTCCCTGGTTGTCTGGGCCCGGAGAAAATTCACTATGACATTTACAAAAGCAACCCTGCCCGTGCGGAGCTGGTCAAGGAACTGTGGGAGCCAATGTGCTCAGAAGACTACACTTTCGCAAGCGCAGAACGCCATCTCCTCGACGCTGTCGCGGCCATTGAGAAGGAGGGCAAGACCCCCCTGAGCAGTGAGCACTGCTGCTACATCTTGAAATCGCAGATTCTCGTCAACCACACCAACTCTCGCGAGCTAGAAGAGTCTTGGGCCACGGACCCTAACCCCACTCACCTCCCCGACGAGCTGTGGAAAAGCGTCATCCCCATCATTGTGATCCGGCATCCAGCTCTCTCTGTCCCTTCGCTGTGGCGCTCCACGTCTGGTGTTCCTGCTCTCGCCAACATGGATCCCATGGAGAACCACAATTACTGGTTTGCCACACTGACATGGTCACGGGTGCTTTTCGAGGCTTTGAGAAACCAAGGGCGCATGCCCATTGTTGTCGACGGCGAGGACGTTTGTACCCGCACTAATGAGGTGATCCGGGGAGTATGCAGCGGACTGGGTATCGATCCTGCCGGTGTCACGGACACTTGGGGTCCTTGGGGCCAGTCGCCGCTGGACCACCCTCTCTTTGTCGAGATGACAAGGACGATCTGGGAGAGTGATGGGGTGAAGAAGCACGAGGTCGGTCATTCTTGAGAGGCGATGAATGTGTGCTGCTAACATTTCTGATTAACTCACAGGCCAAGGGACCTGTCGACATGGACGAGGCTGTTCGAAGCATTGAGAAGGAATTTGGCGCCGAGGTAGCGGCGCGGATGAGAATGCTCATTGACGGAGAGATGGACAATTATCGATTCTTGGAGCAGTTTAAGGTGTAGATTGGGTGAGACTTGGGGGTCGCGCTCATCAGGTCTTACAACAGTGGCTGGAAGTAAAGTAGACTGAGACAGCATGCAGTATTGCGGTCGGTCTTTGTTGCACGCAAAATTAGTGATTTGAGCTCTCTGATTGTGCTAAGGATTGAAGAACGTCGACCATGTTGAATTTGCGTTGATGATGTGTTCCGGGAAGCTCTGCTCGTAAAGCAGGCTGCTCTCTTTCACGTCATTGAGCTTGAGGTGACCGGTGTTGCCAAACACAGGAGGCCCGCAGGCAACTAGACAAGGCTCAAGCCAATTGCTTCTCGCTTCAGTGCCTGTAGATATTCAAATGCAAGTACATCTGTATATGCACTACAATTCATGTTATGAACGATACTCACTCTGAACCTGAACGCCTTCCAGGGGCTGGTTTAGGGTAGCCTGGCAGCCCGCAATCTACTTTCAAAGCTGCACCGCGACGCGACCTGCGCGTCTGACCGTAGCTCTCACTCTTTGTTCGCCTTCACATTCCTCAGTCAACCTCCCGGCTCCCGTATCTGTCCTTGCGAACCGAATTCCCCTCCCGTCTGCTTCAATCGCATTTGCCGCCGCCATCATGTCACGCAGACAGGTAAAAGGCGACTATATCGAGACGGTACGCAGGCACCCAGCATCCCAACCATCCAGCACCTAACCGACCCGCAGGAAACCGGCAACAAGGTCTCCCGCAAGGCCAACCTCCTCGGCACGCAGAACATGGTCCTCGGGGGCAAAGTCGTCATCCAGCCCGAAGTCATGATCCGCGGCGACCTCGTCCGCACCGCCCCGTCCTCCTCGTCCTCTGGCGGCACCACGGCGCCCAGCACGACCGCCATCCAGACCGGCCGCTACTGCTTCTTCTCCAAGGGCGTCGTGCTCCGACCGCCCGGGCGCCGGTACAAGGGCCAGTTCTCGCACATGCCGATGCGCATCGGCCACCACGTCTTCATCGGCCAGGATACCGTGGTGCAGGCCGCGACGATTGGGGACCACGTGCGCATCGGCAAGAACTGCGTCATTGGGGAATTCGCCATCATCAAGGAATGCGTCGAGGTCCTCGACGGCGCCGTCGTGCCACCGAACATGGTCATCCCCAACTACTCCATCGTGGCCGGGCAGCCAGCCAGGGTGGTGGGCGAAGTGCCGGAAGGCGGGGGGCCCGAAGAGAATGGCCTCCGAGGGCTGTACAGCACTGTCGGAAACAATCCGCAGAATCCCGATATGTAGGCTGCCCACTCTCATTGTGGACTGCGGACCATACATACAGCCTCGCACGGGAACTACGCGCATCGCAGCATACCAATGGTGTCTTGCGGGCTGTGTAGCAACAGCGGCAAGAGAGACATGTCACCCGTCATGCGCAAGGGCTATCGTGGCTGCAGTAGTCTCACAAAGATGCTGTCTGCACGAGAAGTCACGTACACGATGCAGTAGCTCTGCATTGGACGCTTCGTGTCGTCCACTCGGGATCTGATGGGCTTGATACCTATTTCCTGCACAATCATCTGCTCCTTTCCTCCTGATACTCAAGCGCGAATCAGCGAGGCGTTTGACACTGTCGGCCGCCGCATCTCGGCTTCCTGCCGCAGGGTAACATTCTCTCATTGATGCGTATCTCGAAGCGGAAGTGCAGAGCTGCAAGTGGCGCGCTGAAAAAGCACAAGTGCGCCAGGTCATGGGCTGCAAAAGCTCGCTCACACTCTACCTGTCATCTCTTCTTTCCTTCCTACACCCGTGTACTACTCATACGTGCAGCGCAGTGTCTCTGCTGTCGGCGAGGGAACGGCTGGTTCGTCTGGCTCTTGTGGTGGGATGGATGATCGACCACCGCAGCGAGGCAATCAAGACGAGAGCAGTGGCCACCATTCTTTTTCTTGTTCACCTCCGAGAGCGCTAAGCATGCTTCTCTCGTGGCTGTCAGACATTGAGAACTAAAAATCTTAAGCAAGCACTGGGGGCCTGCGCCGACACGCTTTTTCCGAGACAACATGCTTTCCCCCCCTGCCCTCTTCGTCGCGTTAGCTCAACGCAGAAGATCAATCTTGTCGCAAAAGGCAGAAGATACGCGCTGTCCTTGTGCAGCAGAAATACACACATGCATAGTCTCCGCCGCGATCAACCCTTGCCGGCATTAGCGGTTGCATATGCCGGGGTGGACGATGCTTATTTGGGGCAAGAGATGCGCGCGCGGGACGAGCTGAACGAGATGAGGGAGCTGTGATTTGACAACACGGCACGCCTTGTGGATGGCTTCATGTTTTAGTACAATTACGTAGGATTGCCGACCGGCGAGTTGCAGCCTGGCCTGAAGAAGTGCTCTGTCCTTCCTGTTTTTCCCAGGCTTTTCCTTTTCTTGTCTCTCGTTCAGAGTCTTTCCCAGACGTTCAGACTTCGTCCAAGAGCTTGGCCAGATTGTCGGACTACTGCCAGAAGAGCGTTGCCTGTATACTCAAGATACCGTCGCCATGGCCGCGCATCAAGGCATACTACGGCGGATGCTGTCGTCCGCATCCGCCCCGATGCATCCCCCCACAGACCCGGAGAGCCAATACACATCGTCGACACTCCCCGCCAAGCCCAAGCACCTGAGTGTCATGGCCTCCAATCCCGAAGACCTCGTCCCCGCCGCCGACAAGCTGCTCATCTTCCGCACACTCACCGGTATCGACACGGTGCCCTTGGTGTCTTCTGGCCACACGGCACGAACAGCGGCGAACATTGGCATCTACACACGCGTGGTGCGCCACGAGCGTACAGCCAAGAAGATGTACAGGGTGGTGAAACTGCTCGCCTCGCTCTGTCTCGGCCTTCAGATTCTGTTTGGCGCCGCCGTCACGGCACTGGGCGCGGCAGGGGGTTCATACAACGGCATCACCGGGCTAGGTGCGTGCTCTACCGTGACCGCGAGCATCGTCGCATACATCAAGGGCAGTGGCCAGCCAGACAAGCTCAAGCACGCCGAGACCCGCTGGCGGTCCGTCCGTGAATACATTGAGCAGAGGGAGCGGGAGCTGTGTCTCTTGGATTGTGGACTGGACGTCTATCGCGAGGTCATGATTGTGGAGGAGATGTACCAGACGGTCAAGGAGGAACTTGCCGCCAAGGGCCCGAACCAGCAGAACGGGACGGCACCTACCACGACACCCAACGGCGCAGGTATGGGTGGCGGTGGCGGCTCAGAAGGCATTGCACAGCGGGTGAACAGTCTGCGCGGGGGTGCTATGAAGCAGATGGATGAGTGGAAGCAGCAGACTGGTTCCGGCATCAATGAGCGCATCAATAATTTTGGCACGACCGCCAGTGGCTTCGTCGATAAGTTAGGTCACATGCGCGACACGACCACGCGGGAAGTGGACGGTCAGGCGAACAGCTTGCGCGCTGCTGGCTCCGGGCTCACGGACAAGATCGACAGTGGGAGGGACACGGCGAGCAGAGGTATCGGACAGCACCTTGGCGCGGTGGCTGCTAACCTGCGTGAGAAGGCCGAAGATGTCAGCGCCGCGGGACAAGACATTTTGCACCGACCTGTACACCAGACAGGGCCGACAAGTACGGCAGGCTGTCGCTGCGAGAATGGGTGCCGTTGTGGTGGGGAGAAGGGCCCGACAAGTGGTGCCAGGAGTTGATTTCCTGGGGCAGGAGGGTCAAAGGAGAGGCCAGATTGGGTTACATAAGTACAAGTAGGCAAGCAGGGCACATAGCGAGGGATGTAATTGGGAACACGTCAATAATGCGCCACACGCGGGAACCGTTGCGAGTGAAAAGGGGGCATCTTTCCTGACGACGCAGTGCATTGGGAGACTGTGGGCGTAAGCACAGCACCTACGAGGACTTTCAGGAAAGTTCTTGTAGGATGTCCAATGGATGCGGGTTCAAAATATGAGCTGTCGCACGCTCGCATGTGTCGCTGGGCTCTAAAAAGGAGGCAGGTGAAAATGGACGGCACGCTCATAGTGACTCATCGTGATGCAGGATGACAATCTCTACGCTCCCCATAAAGCAGCGCAGATTGTTTGAACATGCACCTTGGACTTGCTTCCTTAATCGCATACTTTCGAAAGGAGCCGTATGGCATCATTTGTACAGCTTATTCCGCGTAAGCCGATTCTTCCTTGAAAAGCTGCCCTTCACCATGATGAACATGACATTCACTCGCCGATCCGAAAACTACATGTGGCCAATGTCCATGGCACTGGTTTCGCCGTTTCTGATTAAACCTTCTATTCCCCATGTCCTGTCTCTCTTCTGCAGCCTGGACACGACTGACGAACGACTGTGGCTACAGGACATCACCAAAGTGTCGCGCACTGAACCGATTCACCCTCGACAAGCCCAAGACCGCGCTCTGAGAGATCCTGTAGTTTACCAAGTACAGGTGTGCAGTCAACGAGTCGAACGTTTCCCATACGCCATATCCGTCCTATAAGAGTGTCAGTTGCGTCGCATCACGCGTACCGGGTTGGACACATATGTTACCAGTCATCCTCTGTGATAGGGTTGAAGCTCCCAATCATCTGTCTTCCGGGGTCGTCAGTTAGAAAGACGACCTTGGACCCAAGTTCCGCAACATTCTTCTTGCTGCTCTCTGGCGTCTTCCCCTGGAGCACTTTGTCGACTGAGCCAAAGATGTACGGTTCCTTTGAGTGGAACGCAACAAACTTTCTCACTCTGCCGCCTCGTTAGTAGCCCGTTCTTACTGGATGCGTAGCATGTAGATGTACTTGTTCGCTGTGAACCTCTCACCGTAGGGGATCTCCAGCATGGCGTATCCGCTGTGTGTCGGCAGACCGTTCTCATCAATCGTCTGGAGCCGTCGCCTCTGATGGTACGAATTCTTGTATTTCTTCACAAGATTCTCAAAGAACAAAAGGCGCGCAAGGCCCTCGACTTTGGGGTGCTCTGTCGTTCGGACACATTGCGACTCGTCGATCTGGCTGCGGTCGAGAGCGGGCCAGTACGCGTCGAACTGGTGACTTCTGTACTTGTACAGTCGGTTCTCATATGCTACGTGATGTTTGTGAACATTAGTTGCCTCGCGGAAGTGGAATTAAAACGTACAGGGACTCCGGCGGGAGAGGTCGATCAAGTTTGTCCTTGTTGTGAGTGCAGCCACACCACGGGGGTTGGAGTAGACCTGTTTCCCATCAAAGGCGACGCAGGCGCAGTCAACGTCGAACCCTGTCAGAATCTCGCTGATGGACCTGTAAAGTCGAAGAATGACCTAAGGCAGCTTCTCAGCACATGGGACTTGGCATGCAGCCTTCAGGTTGGCACCTTGACATACCTGGACGTGTCGAAATGGCCACCTCGGGGAAACAAAGGTAACCGCGTTGGCTGTCCGGATCGTTAAACCACAGCCATGGGACAAGCGCTGATTCCTTCGTATAGCCGCTTCGAGCTGGGATATTTTGGCCAGAGCGGCTTCCTCAGTGAGGCCGTAGAGAAAGAGGTCAATGTCACTTGACGAGGCCGTGCGTCTGGGTCGATGTGAGATCCACCAAAGTTGATTCGTAGTCCATCTCGATAGAGGGAACGTACTGGTAATATGTCTCCAAGGGGTCCTCAACCGCTGGATCGTTGGGAATCTTGACGTCCGTTCGGTGAGGAAGCAACGGGAGCATAGCGGACGAGCCAGCCGCGACGACGTTGCTCCAGTCTATGCCAGAGAGGGTCGCTGCAAGCAGGGATCTTCAGCAATGATATTTACCTTGCCGCTAGGATTGTAGCATGCTTACAGTGAGTGAAGGCATCGAAATTGCGTTGGTACGCCTCGAATGAATCCGCAACGGCACAGGACCTGTCTGTCCCGGGCGAATCGCTCGACAACCGCATCAGATACTTTTCAGGGTCACATTGTTCCCTATCAATGTTTCGAAACTTTGGCAGAGTAGTGCTGGGGTCATATATGTGAACCAGGTTCGCCATGTCGTCGATTGATCCGTCGCGCTGCGCAAAGGCTTTGCGTAGGGTCAATTCATATTGCAAGAAGGGCTCCAATACCTCTTGCGTCACTGTGTCCGTGTTTCTGTTGAGATGTGCCACAAAGTTCCTGGGAATGTCTGGCAGTCCATGTCTGTCAACGATCGTCTTCTCCGCGTCGTCTTCGGTCCTGGGCGCAACCGTGCTGTTGTGCTTGTCTGAACGGGAGCGCAGCGGTCGCGAGCACAAATCTCGAAACGAAGGCATCGGGAGCGGACGACGTGAATGAGGCTTGGGAAATACAAGGCAAAGGGAGTAGAGGAGAAGTCTGCCTCACTGCAGCAACGATCATTCACACCGATCGTCGTATTTATGTGTTTAGCGCGACAGACGTCCTCAGCTCAACGTGGCAGTCTCTATGTCTGCCTGGATACCCTGTGGTGCGCGTTGGTGACGGTCAGTCCCTAACGGCGTAGACGACGCGTAGAGAAATATGAACCTGTTTATCACATGTTAAGAGCATTATTCGCGCAAATTAGTCAATGGACGTCAAACGAGTCGTAGGGCCGAGTTGGTTTTTGTACTTTGTTCAAATTATTTGAGAAGAACATTGTGGTAATGAAAAGCGGATCGACTCGATCGAGTGCTTGATTTTCCTGCACGTGCTGAACAAGGTACCTAGATTCGAAGCAGCATGGTCTCGTTAATCTTCAGGCAGCAGGAACTTGCAACTGCGTGGGATAGACATGTTTCCCATATTTTCATATGGTATGGCCTCATGTAGAGCTGATGGAGGACTCCTGACTCCCGACTCCTGACTGAGTTGCCGGGAGACTTCGTTACGCCGCTAGCGCCGCGGTAAGCGCATTTGGGCGGCAATGTCTAGCGGCACGTCACTGAATCAATACCCAGGTGTTCCGACCTCACCCGCTGTCCTGTCTTCTGCCCATTGTCACAAACTCATGATGGCGAGCAGAAACAGGATCGCGCGGAGGGCATTGTCTTCATGGAGCCAATGCCCAAACAAGGTGCTGCCACGCGCCGCGGCGGCATCCTTCCACACAACAGCTGCACCAGCAACTGATGGCGTGTTCCGGGGCCTTACAGACACACGAGTTCGCATGCCGTGGATAGAGGCCTTTCACAAGCAACAGAAAGGGCAGATGACGGGGGATATGGAAGACGCCCCAGAGGAACGCGATCTCACTCCGAAAAAGATGACCGACAGCTATCATCGCGTCGTTCTTCCGCTTGGCCAGGATCCGTGGCTGTCGGATACGTACATCAACTCTTCAGGCCATATCAGGTAAAACCCGCGCTTTCTCTGTGCAATGCCGTCACTAACACAATACTGACAGGCTCGGCACATTGCTGATGGACCTCGATGCGCTTTCTGGTATCATCGTTTACAAACACACAGGTCCTGGTGTTACCACTGTCACAGCTGCCTTGGACAGAGTCACACTCGCCCATCCTCTCACAGAGATCTGTGATCTCGAGTACAGCGGCCAAGTTACGTATGCCTCCGGTAGGAGCAGTGTCGAGATCACTTGCAGGGTCGCCAAGGCCAGGGCCGAGGGTGAGCCCAGCAAGCCTGAAGACGTCCTCCTGACTTGCACATTCACCATGGTGGCGCTGGATCCCAAGACCAAGAAGCCCGTCAACATCCCCAAGCTAGAATACAGCACGCCCGAGGAAGAGAGGATCTACAAGGCGGGCGAGGCCAAGTCCATCGCCAAGAAGGAGACGCTCAAAGCGTCACTCCTACAAACAGAGCCGAACGATCCCGAGTCGGCACTCATTCATCGCATCTGGCTCCGGCAGCTGGCATACCACGATCCCAACAACAGTCTCCGCCAACCCAAGAACGTGGTGGCCATGTCCAAGACACAGCTGTCGACGGCCGCCATCATGCAGCCCCAGTACCGGAATCGTCATCAGACTATGATTTTTGGTGGTTTCCACCTCAAGCAAACATTTGAGCTGGCCTTTTGCTGCGCTGCCAGTTTCGCTCACGCACGTCCGACCTTTATCAGCGCTGATCCGTGTACCTTCCGCAACCCTGTCCCCGTTGGCAGCGTGCTGTACCTGACGGCCACGGTGGCCTATACCGATCCCCCGCTGCTGGAGGAGGATGGCTCAGAGCCCCATCAGGCGGAGTCCGACCAGCCCATGACGCGCGTGCACGTTCGCGTGGACAGCAAAGTCAGGGACGTGGAGCACGGCGTCGCGAAACCAACGGGCCAGTTCAACTACACGTTCTCCGTCCCCAAGGACCTCAAGGTGCTCCCGCATACGTACGAGGAGTACATGATGTACATTGACGCCAAGAGACGTGTCAAACTCGGGGACGCTCAGCGGAAGCAAGAGGAGATGACATCGTTTGGCAAGAGGCGGTGTTCGGAAGGGAGCGTCGACCTTATGGAGTAATGTAATCAGAGCTGGTTGTTTCAATGGAATCTGCCTGGCCATTGGTGCTGCAAGGGCTTTCTCTCGAGGGCTGTACGTACTGCGTGTAAGCGAACTTGAACTTGGCTGGACGATGTACCACACATGGCGAGCTTCATCCAACGGCTTAAATCATTATATGATTTACAGTAGGTGGGCTCCTTGAAACATTTTTCTACAAACTCATAAGAAGCACAGGGCATAGCTAACGTTAGTCCCCGGTGTTCGCAGGATGCATGTACAGCACAAGGCGCATGCTGTTCGGCTCGTCATCCATATTACCCTACACTTGCTCTATCACTCTGGGTTCTGACGTCCACCGAATCTGTTGTCCACTTTCGCTCCCTGCTCAACCAGAGGCTTCAGAACCCTCCATGGTTCCAGCGATTTCGACATTGGCCAGACGAGTGCGCTCTTCTTTCATTAGGTATGCGGTTCACCCTCTCTCATAGTCCACTCATTCGGGCGCGGGCTTTTGGGAAATGATTCCATCACCTCGTTGCTCCTGCCGTGTCGAGACTCGAGACTCGCAATCGTGAGTCAACTGCTCCACCAACTCTATGTCACGGTTTCAATCGTCGGAGGTCACGAGGATTCCAACCTCCAGTCGTTTCCGACGATGAAAAATATTGTTAAAATTCACTTAGAGCTGTAATCTACACTCCGACTTACAGCACACCTTGATACGATAGCAAGACGATAGCAAGCCAAGCACACCGCAATCCCATCATTTCGTACACTCCAAAGGAGACATGGACGCTTACTCAATTTCATATTCCAGTTCGTCGAAAGGCAAATCCTCGAGAATCTACCAGGACCTCAGTTCTACACACTTCTCTAGCTTCCGGGGTCTGGGTCAAGAACAGTCCCTTCGAGAGCTGAGCACTATGGATACTTGCCGAATGGTGAGTGGTGACTGGATTCTCGACGAACCTCGTTCTGACAAACGAAGCGTAGCCACAGCGGCAGCAAAAAGCCCCATGTTGGCATCGTCGGCGCTGGCTTAGCCGGACTGCGTTGCGCAGATATCGTCCTTCGCCATGGGTTTCAAGTGACCATCCTAGAAGGGCGTAACCGCATCGGAGGTCGTCTTCACCAGGAGAAGCTATCAAATGGGCATCTCGTGGATATGGGTCCCAATTGGATCCACGGCACCAAGGACAATCCGATACTCGACATTGTCAACGAGACCAAGACAGATGTCGGCAGCTGGGACACGAGGTCGTACGCTTTTGACGAGTTTGGTGGCTTGTTCGACGTTGCCAAGAGCGACATGTATGCCGATATAATGTGGGATATTGTGCAAGACGCCTTCAAGCACTCGAACGACTTTTCGGCTGAGATTAACGAAAAGGAAAGCTTACATGACTTCTTTACTGAAAAAATGGCAGAGAAAATACCCGAAACCGACCAGGACTGGCAGATGAAGCGACACATTGTCATGCAGATGTCCGAGCTATGGGGTGCCTTTGTTGGCAGTCCGATCGAGAGGCAAAGTCTCAAGTTCTTCTGGCTAGAGGAGTGCATAGAGGGAGGTAAGTCTGCAACTCAAGTTGATTGTACAGTTCTGACTAAAGCAGAGAATCTCTTCTGCGCCGGCACGTATAAGAAGGTACTTGAAAGCGTTGCTGCACCGGCGCTGGCAGAGGCAAGCATACAGTTCAACATTGTAGTTGACCAAATCACGACCCGCATTCAGCCTGGAGACACAATAAAAGTTCATGAAAAGAATGGGAGCAGCCTGGAGTTTGACGAGGTGATAGTCACCGCTCCTCTGGGCTGGCTCAAGCGAAACCTGGACATATTTGAACCTAGCCTACCAGCCCGCCTGACTCAAGCAATCAATTCGATTGGATACGGTAGTCTTGAAAAGGTAGATATGAGCTGATTCTGAGAGGTATAGTCGTTGACAATCTACCTAGGTGTACATCACTTTCCCCGAAGCGTTCTGGCTCTCTCAAGCAGACGACGACCAGAAGGTCCAAGGCTTCATCCAATGGCTTTCTCCCGCTTATGCACCCGACACGAACCCTGAGAGATGGTACCAAGATGTTGTCGAGCTCGCCAGTCTCACACCCGAGACCTCACATCCTACACTCTTGTTCTACATTTACGGCGCTCAGTCTGAGCACGTCACGACGCGGGTTGCGGAACTACAGACGAAGCAAGAGAAAGACGAATTCCTGCTTGCCTACTTTAGACCTTATTACTCTCGCCTACCCCACTATAAGGAGTCTGACGAACGATGCCAGCCGACAAGCTATCTGTCAACAGCCTGGTCCAAGGACGCACTTGCAGGGCATGGCAGTTACAGTAACTTCCAAGTTGGCTTAACTGAAGGCGACCGTGACATCGAGGCAATGAGACGTGGGCTTCCGGAACGTGGCCTTTGGCTTGCTGGCGAGCACACAGCACCCTTCGTGGCTTTGGGTACAGCGACTGGGGCCTACTGGAGTGGCGAAGCAGTCGCAAGGAGACTTGCGGAGTCTTATGGTATGAAGACGGCCGAAGTATCACAGTGAGCATCTCCGCGCGTCACCTATAGCATCTTGACACCCTGATACTATGAAACTGTCTGCGGTACAAGAAGACATTAACTCGCTACGCATCGCTCGTTGAAATCACCCCGTTGTGTCTAGATCTCACCCGCAATTGCCTTCACAATCTCCTTTTCGGCTGCCTTTTGCTTTGCTTTCATCATGGACAGCACAGTCATGATGGCAAATGTGCTGCCGAGCTCGCCCGTCGCGCCCTGTCCAACAAATTCAATCGTGCCCATTTCTGAGTTGGTGTGCATGCCCAGGCCCCCGTAGTCAGTCCACGTCGCGACAGGATTGTCCAGGTCTCCCGGTCGGCTGAGGATGTATCCCGACTTGGCGTGCCTCATGTCCTTGAATCCAGTGTCCATCGTCTTCCATTGGAATGTCTCCTCGCCACCCCGGTCGACTGGCACGGTAAAAGTGTAGGAGAGGTTACCGATGGAGCTCATGCCGCTCTTCTTGACGGCGTATGAGGAGCCATCGGCCAGCGTGATCTGGGCTGAAGAGCCGCTGAGACCAGAGTCTTTGGCCTCGCCAAGAAGAGGCCCTTTCTCCTTGTGGCCTCCTCCTGTGACGGTAAGTTTGCCGGTAAGCGAGGGAATCCTTCCCGCGTGACTGGGCTCCCCAAGAGTAGGACCGACTAAGATGTAGGATTCGCCCGAGCTAGACATGCGTGACCACATGACGACCTTCTGAGGGAATGGCATACTGCCGCGGGCGCCAGGGGGGGCATAGCCCATGGGAGGTCCCTGACTGATCCCACCTGGGGGCTGATGGCCTCCATATACACCTTGAGGAGGCGGGGGGCCGTAGGGCTGGTGTTGGTTTTGAAGACTGCCATGGGTGCCGGGAGGCGGTCCCGGGGGAGGTGCATAGTTGTTATATCCTCCTTGCTGAGCAGTTGGTGAGTGTGCATAAGGGCCTCCTTGACTTCCCCCGTTCTGGTACCCTTGGTTCTGAAGTCCGCCGTTGCTGTATCCGTAGCCACCCCCGTAACCGTTTTGACCATAGCCAGGATGTGAGCCGTTCGCGTGCTGCTTCCCGCCGGACTCATCTAGCACCTTGTCGAGCTCATCGCGAGCCTTGCTGATGAACTTTCTCATGGTAATCGACGTGATTCTAGGTATGTGTGTGTTCGTCACGGGTATGCGCAAGCGATGCCAGGAGGATTCTTCCGAAAATGGTCGTTGTCGGATATGAACGATTTGACTAGAGTTGGAGGTTTACGTTTGAAAAGAAGGGAATGCGAAAGATAGAAAATGGAGAATACGTAGGAGGTTGTGTAAGTACTTTATGTAGGAATCCCGTAGTGGGACGGATCTGCCATTGTCTCGTGAAACACGCCAGCCGGCTCGAGCATGGCCACCATGGACTGCCTATTCAAAGACAAATGCATTGACTGAAGCGATCAGGCGCATCACGAACCAACGCGCCAATGAAGATCCGTGTGAGGCTGTGAGCTGCCGCATTGTCCTGTTGGTTGATGCCCTCCATGTTGTGTCGTGCCAATGCGGGAGTGTCACCCTGGGTGCTCTGTGCACCGCACTTAGGCGTTTAGGCGTGAGCTTGCTTGAGAAATCGATGGAACGATGATGAGATGGAAGCTCACCAGGAGACAGGTGTATCCGTGAGAATGACTTGCACTCACACAGGTGATATTGTTCATCAACGCATTCGAAAAGTTGAGAGTAGTACGTGCCTTGGCTACCCTGGATTCTGACGCGGACACCATCAGGGTCTCCGTTGACGTCAGTGGGTGGGTCTTTGGAAGTGTCAGCCTAAAATAATGTAGATCCTCTGCAAGCATTGTTACGCGAAGGGAACATTCAAGTGAAGCTACACAACAAACAGCCCTAACACCACTCCAGAGTTGGTTGTCTGGGATTCGAAGAGGCCAGACAGAGGCTCAGAGCTCACGGCCACGGCCATCGACGTCGTCCCGTCACGCCCGACCGGCCACCATGTTCGCCAAAACAGGCAGCTTCTAGAGAGATATCACTTGCAATGAATCAGAAACAGGAGTATAGCAATTGTTCAAGAGATTTGGTGGACTGGCTCCAGGATTTACTGCTTCAGTCCATGAGAACGGAGGCATGTTTGCTGTAGAGAAATTAATCACAAGCTATAGTGTGATGCGCTGTGGAGAAGGTTGTTCAAGTGCCTTGTATTATTACAAAAGAGATAGCCGTTGAGGCTCTATTTATGCGTTCTTGATCGC